TTTGACAATTGCTGTAAACAATGAAATAACGTTTTTATAATTTCACGCGAAATGAAGCCGCACGGGAACAGCTAGTTATTAAATATGTCTTGTCGCTAGGAATGCCTAAGAGCTTTTAATTTCAACAATGGAATTTTTATTGTCTTGTAGAATTAAAATTCATTTTTATGAAGTTAATTACCGCTTTATCGGAAAAGTGTAAGTAGGAAGAAGAAATTATTTACCGGTTTTTTATATTCCTAGCTATTGCTCGCGACTTCGTGTACGTTTTATAAAAAGTACTATGGAACTAGATATGTATACAAAAGTGTTTTTAAGATCATAATCTGTTTTTAATTTTTATCTTACATTCTAGCAGATAATGGTTTTACAACGCTTACATGGCCTTGCCAAACTAAATCCAGCTAACCCTGACCTTTGTTACATTTAACTTCTTTCTTTCTTAACTTCATAGTTAAGATGTAAAAATTCTGACATCAGAAAAAGTAATGTCTCAACAACGTCATCTATTTCTATTGACATGTTCTCTAATCTTCACAATATTTTGTCATACAAAATGGTAACAAACCTTCAAATATCGGACGTTTAATTTATTCATGAAATGATATTTTTCCTCATTCATTACGCATACTGCCCGTTGACAGTTAGGATGAGAAGGGTCAAAGCTTGTTCATTACGATGTCCCACTTCTAACGAATCCTATTAACTTTTATGAAATGTTATGAATTTTTAAGATCAATACCGAGTATTTATTGAATGATGTTATCCTTTACATAATATGTGAGGAAAACCTAGTCAACAATACATTTACACGATAAAACGCCTAAAAACGCGCGCACATCTATGAGTAAACCATCGCACAACTGTTTATTCGCGTATGATTCCTACTCGAGTTTTAGTTGTACAACTAAACAGTTGAAATGGCTGCGAAACAATCGACAATCGCACAATAGTTGCACAAACAGAAAACCTCTTAGTAATATCAAAATGAAACAAGGATAAAAACTCTTCAACTCCAAGATGTCTTTACGCCTAATCATATATACCACACACACAAATAAATTCATACATATAAACACACACTCGCATACCCAAATACATGTATATCATCACATATATTATTATGTACCTAGATTAAGAGAAGGCCCTGCCTCCTAATACAGGTCCTCACCTAGTTCAGGAAGCAGAGACCCAATGATTATTGTGCAACTGGTTTTGCAAGTGTGTGTGTTTTTTTAGTTGTGCGTAAGATTAGTCAAAGATCCAAAATTCATCTTATTGTTAGAAAAAAGTTCAACTATAGACTCTTAAAATTAAGTCCAAAGTAGGGCGTTACACATAAATCCGAAATTCAGTATTTTATATGGGCATAAACCTCCACTTTATGACGTGATAAAGTTGACAACATACGCTTATTTCAACAACGAAAATAAAATTTTAGCACACTGACATTTCGCAAACACTTTTTGTTATTTGCTTGACTTGTTCATTTTTCACGTTCAATTATGATTTTAATAGTTTTGTCTATCTCAAAGTTAGTAACTTAAACAGCTACTTACGACAGATTTCTCCAATTAAGGGACTGCCTGATTACTTAACTCTAAGAGCGGTAATCAGTACGTCTTCAAATCGCAGTATGTGGTAAGTAAAGGATTCTAATATTTTTTGCATAAATAAGACATTTAAAATAACTGCACAATCCTATTTAAAGTTAAGTCAAATAAACTGTGAAAAAAAGACTGTAAAAATTAAGTCAAAGACCTTTCGGCTATTGTCGTATAAAATAATTATTATTTCTCTAGACTGAGTCGCAGCGTTTTGAACAATTTATTTAATTACCTCTGGATTTCTTTTCTTCATTTGAAAAAAAATGTACTCATGTTTAAACAACAATTAGTGAAATTTACTTGCAGCCAATTTTCTTTTAGACAATGATTACTACATTTACCTATTTAATAACAGGTCTTAACTTCTTTCTTTAATTACAGAAGCAGTTTTACTAAGTAATAAAAAAATATAGTGTAATGTTAAATATAAATAAATCACTATTTAGTTTTAATATTTTATATGAGACTAACTGTTGCTCGCCACTTCGGCCACGTGAGAAAAATATAGCCTAGTTACTCAATGATAACGTAGCTTTTTAATGGTGAAAGAATTTTTGAAATCGGCACAGTAATTTTGGAGTTATTTCAATAAGTACAAAAATACAAATCTTTTATCTTTATAATATTAGTATAGAAAGGAAGAAGAGACGGGAACATTACAATACAAGGACGTCTATGGACATCAATATTAGAGAGACTACAGATGAAGACCTAGTACTTTAAAATATATTGACAAGCGTTAACGTATTTAAGTGGCACTTAAAATTGCAATCTATATTACTATCAGTGCCAACGTCGAAAATCGCACTAGCTAAATAGAATTATATTGTGAAATATCGAGAATAAGTAATCATCTAGCCAATGACCTATCGTCGCAATATTACTAACTGAAATGGTTTCACGCTCCTAAAAGAGGGAAGATGAAAAATTTATTCCAACGTTTATCGTTATGACATTTTCAAAATTAATTCGTAAAAGAATATGATAACGGCAGTCATTTAATAATCGTTAAAAATATGTTTGAATAAAAGTGTTCACTATGAAAACTTTAATTTGATTACCTATTTTTAAACTACGTTAGTTTAGTTATTTAAAAATACATTTTTGATAATGCTTTGTAGACAATGACTTGTAGTGACTATAATTGGGTTTGATCTGCAGTTTCGTCATCGGACGACACGATAGACCGCCAGGTACGTGCCGTTTTCGTGCAACTTTCTGCCCCGCACTGCCGAGTTAAGGAACTATCTGTCTTCGGCGGTATTTCCGAACCAATACGATTTAGGGTCCTTCAAGAAGCGTACAATTTCCTCAAATACCGGCAACGCATCTGTAGTTTTTCTGGTGTTGCGGATATCCATGGGCAACGTTGAACACCTCTGTGTTCCCAACGCTAATTTGCCCCGCCCCTTTCTCTTATAAAAAAAATAATAAATATTGAATTTGTAATGTAGTACATTTACGAGAACGTAATTAGATTTAGTTTGCGGCGAACGTGCAATAGTCACTAATCAGCCAATAAACTGTAGATTGGTTATTGATTGCTTTCGAGTGTAGTGATAATATCGCGTATTGAAAACTAATTACGCTGATTAGTTTAACATATAGATCAGAAGCGTATTAAAACTTAAGTGAATGACGTATTTTATAACTATCAATTGAATTTTTATCCATACTAATATAATAAAGCGTAAACACCATTTCTTTGTGGTGTAAGATGTCAGCAATCACTGCATATAAAGTTTATAAAATAAGGTTTTTATAATTTCATGTGGATGAAGCCGCACGCGAACCGCTTGAAATAACTCAAAAACTACTAGGCCGATTTTAAAAAAAATCACCATTAGAAAGCTACGTTATCATTGAGTAACATAGACTAGCTAAAAGTCAAAAGCAACATCTAGTTAATAATGTTTTTGTACAAAGATATAGCATTGCTCGTATTAGAGTGTGAGTGTACCTGCATATTGCAGTAGCGCTAATTACCCTTCGAGCAATACGACGGAACAATCTTTTGAGCCCTCGCGTCGGTGCCTTTAGAAATGAATGCTTCGTAATATCAAGACGGTGCGAAATGACAACGAGAAACGAACGAAAACTTTCCTAATTAAATAACTTTTACCAAGATTTTAAAAAGTAAGTTATATTTAAAATAATGTAAGTGTATACAGGTGTTATTTTATTACTAGCTATCCGTCTCTCCTCTCTCCGTCCGTCCGGACTTTTTTAAAAAATAAGCGAAAGATCTAGGAAAGAGTAAGGTTTTTTTGTATAACATATGGTGGCAAACGAGCAAGCGGCCACCTGAATTCGCCAAAATGGCGAAGCGACCGCTGCCCATAGACATCCGCAATTGCAGATGCGTTGCCTACCCTTATCCGACAGAGGAGGAGACGCACATAAAGAGGATATCTCCCCTTCCTATGTATCTCCTCCTCCGTCAAATCCACTTCCTCTTTCCATCCTCTCCTTATAAGAAAAGGGTGGCAAAGAGAAAGGGACTTAAATTAGGACTCCGGCACCACACTCATCAGACGCAACATGGAATTGCTTCCATTTCACGCCTGTCTTCTATGTGGTCGTGGTATTACACCGGGCGTGCCGGCCTATTCGTGCTAAGATGTTAAAGCGGGCACTACCTCTTGTAAAATTTATCACGCTAAAGAAATTAGTTAAAGTAAAAAAAATATTCTGTACTAGTTATTAGTGAAAATGCTAGGCATAACTAGTCTAGGAGCAATTTATAAGCAGTACAGAAATAATCACTTCTACCTTTTGTTCGTTGCTTGGGAAAAAAGTTTCATAATTGCGTTCCTTTGTTTCAAAATAATGCTAACTTCTAACGATTTTCTCAAAATATTTCTCATTAATTACTCTTAGCGAACATGTTTAGAATAGATTTTTAAATTCCTTATACCTATTTCATACCTCTAGGTTTTTAGATTTTACCCTCTATTTTCTTTATGGTGAGAACAAGAAAATAATAGAAATCTATGCTCTACTATTAATGTAAATATTTGTCGGTTTGTATTAAAAAAAACACGTTATTTCACGTATTATATTATACAAACAAACACAATATTATCAATTCACGAAATTTCATGTTAGTAATTCTAAACCAAATGCATTTAAGAAAAATATGAACTACGCACAATGAACAAAATTTTCTTCACTATGCCTAGTCTGTATTTCTCTGAAATGTACTATGTAAGTTGTCAAGTGTAGTAGGCCACCTCGTGTCCTTGTATTGACATGCAATAAAACATTTTTCTGTACTATCGGATTTTGTTACTTCATCTGACAGTGACGGCATTTTTAAGCTATCAGCAAGTGGTGGGACAGGCCCTAAGAATAAATAGGCGTTTCAAACCTTAGTAGAATTAATTAGTTGGATAATAAAACAAAACTTTAGTGAGTATTTATTACAAAAAATAGAAAAAAATGAGATACAACATGAAAAAACTCACAGTAGAGCTGTAAGTACAAATTACAGAAATTCAATAAATGCAAAAAAATTTTTGATAATAGTACAATGAGTAAATGATTGTCATCATTAATAAGTTATATTATCATAAGGTAATTTGTTCTTTAGCAAGGGCGGCTTAACGGCTGGAGGGCCGACGGGAACAGCTTTAGTAACAACTTCCACGACTGTCTTTTTCTCGACAACTAACGGGGCCGGGGCAGAATCACGCATCGCCACTTTAGGCACTAATGGAGCCAACGCGCTTACTAGGAAATCCATATTCTTAATTTCGGATACTGCTCCTTCAAATCTGTAAAAAAAAATAATTAAACATCCATGTCATTTGTTAACATAGAGTAAGAAACCTAATTGACCCGTTGTTAAAAAAATACAAAAAAAAACAAAGACGAATTGACAATCTCCTCCGTTGTGGAAGTTGGTTAAAAACTAAAGTAATAGGACCATTTTTTATTTGTGGGGTAAATGCGTAAGCATATTCCAACTCTTTGGGGCTTAGAGAATATACCAGACTCCTACCAACTAAAATCCCATGGTGGTCGCCAACGACGCTAATGAAAGAAAATCCCAATGCGGAGTAAAACCATATCCCCTTAAGCGTTCAGTTTTACACTCCTCGTTAAATGCAATATGTCCTCGGAGACCCATTTCAATGTCAAAGAGGTAACTAAAAAGAAAGTTGTGTATCATTCTACGCCTAAGCTAAGTACCTATGATTTTTTCCATATTTTCTGGTACAACTACACACACAATAATAGCATCCCTATCACCGGGTCATGTAGGTTTTTAGGTCTATATGTATGCCAAGACAAGACAAAGAAATATTTTAAGTACAAGATAACTGACAGTTAACGTTACAAAGATTATTATATTCAATTTTAATTTTGTTAACATACCTTTATGAAGCTTTTACTTTATTGCCAGGTTTCACAACACTAAATATTTTAAAAATTATTACAGGACTTGCATTCCACGCGAGAAATTTATTAAGACTGACCAACACTGTAGGCCACTGCGCCTTATATACTCTCCATTACTTTGTATGTACATTTATGTTGCTTTACGATAACAATATCTATATTTAGACACAGACTGAACATAGCGTTGCAAACAGGGATACGTAGAATATTATCGTACCATACTCATTTAATTTGCAAGTAAGTATTCACAACACAGAAGTCAAGCGTAGTTGCAATGGTTATAAATTATGTGATAAATAACAAACAATGGATAATAAACACAACAAATAATTCACGTATTGTCTAAAGCTCTTGAGTACTAAATCCAAAAACACCGAATAGAGGTCTTTTTTACCCGACAAATAGGGTAATACTTTGCGAGCGTAAGCTTGTTTCAATTTATGTATAAATAGCAACGGCCTGGAGCTTAAACGATTGAATTAATTTTGACGAACGAGGGGTCAATAGATTCTTCTTCCCCGGAGTGTTATAAGGTACAAGGCAAGGCACAAGACCCTTATAGACAAAAATCTGTAGTTCCTCTGGTGTTGCGGATGTCCATGGGCGTCGCCGACCACCTCAGTGTTCTCGCCGCTCGTTTGCCCCCCTTTATTATAAAAAAAAATGTGAAAAACCGAGTTCGAATCTCACTTTCCATAACGTCCGATAAAGGACTTTCGTTCGTTGACATTATGCTCTTGGTTCATGTTTTTCTTGCAAGAATGTAAAATAATACACATCAACATATGTCTGACTCTTCTCAGCGGTTTCGGGAAATCTAAATATTTATACAAAACATTCGCCAACTGCGCAGCATCTATAAGTACGTCAGAGTACAGATGCTTTGTGAACAGATTTTAAACACAAAAAACAATTTGGATTAATTTATCAATAACAATCGGTGACAACTGTGTCCAGCAGATATCGCCATCTTTTAATATTTTTTTGCAATCTAATGAGAATTATGCTACATCTACAAATCTCTGTAATTTAAAAAGTAATCAAAACTGTTACTACGTAACTGTTCATAGTTTGTGTATATTAAGAGCGGGCGTACATCTCAAACTTAATTATCGCACAACTGTTGTGCGATTGTCGATTGTTTCGCAGCCAATTCAACTGTTAGTTGCACAACTAAAAATCGAGAAGCGTAAACACCTCCGTATAAGCTCATAGGAATCAAAGCGAGACAACACAGTTGTGCGATAATTTAGTTTCACGTGTGCGCACGCTCTAAATGTAAGTATGTATACTTACCGTATGTAGGATTTAGTTGTCTGATAATAAAACAAAAATTTCAATTAGTTAATTAGTATTTATTGCAAAGCATAGAAAAGGAAATACATGATACAACTACGAGTATAACCGTACTGTAAAGTTTTGATATCAATGCAAAATGGTTGTCATTATTAAAATTTATTACATCAATAATAACGTTTCTTGTTATATGGTAGTGCTGGTTGGCTACTACCGATTGGTGGATGGAAAGCAGTAGACCTAGCAGTAAAACCCGCGGATGCGCTCACCTCCACAGTAGTAGTTGTAGGAGAGGATTGTCCCTGGGGTTTCTGACCAGCTGAAACCATCGCCACTGAAGCAACCGCTGGAGCCAACACGTTTGATAGAAAATCCATATTCTTATTTTGCGATACTGCGAATCTGTAAAAAAAAAACAATATTAGTAAAAAAAACTTACATAAAAAAGTACAGATATATTATATAAAGAAAATCTAAATTAATAACTCCCAGGGGGCCAGTTTCATTGTCAAAAACTAACTAAATTGCAACTTGTATATCATTCTATGCTTAAGTTACAAGCAAGCGACCATCTAAATTTGTTGAGAATGCAAAGCGACCACTCTCCATAGACATCAGCATTTGCAGATGCGTTGCCAACCCATAGTTGACGGAGGAAGACACGTATCTTCGTTATTTTCCCTTCATGTGCGTCTCCTCCACCATCAAATCTATTATTCCTTCCCAACATTACCTTATAAGAGAAGAGTGAAGGGAAAGGGACTAAAATTAAGCCTCCGGAACGTAGATTCATCAGACGAAACGTGAAATTGCTTCCACTTCATGCCTGTCTTCTGTGTGGTCGTGGTATTGCGTCGGGTAAGATGGCTCCGTGCGAAGATGTTTAAGCGAGTCCATCACTGATTAATTATCATATTTTGTGATACTAATACATACAATAATGGCGTAACTCTCACCAGGTAAGATTGGGAAAACTTCAGTGATGTAAAACAACGATTTGGACAAAGAAATTTTAACAGTCTAAAAAAACCTTTATAGTTAATTTTACAAAGATAATTGTAAAAGTGTGCGCACCTAAAACTACACTATCGCACAACTGTTTAGTCTTGCTTTGACTCCTATAAGCTTATATGGAGATGCCAGTAATGCTATGAATGCTCAATTTGTAGTTGTGCAACTAAACAGTTGAATGGGCTGCGAAACAATCAACAATCGCACAACGGTTGTGCGATAGTTTAGTCAAGTATCTACCCACTTTTAGTAATTTCTTTACGTTGTTGACAGGTTCCACAACAGTAAATTTTGATAAAATTACTTCAGTACTTACATGCATGAGAAAATAATGTTAACTGGCGAACACTGTAGACCACTTCGCCTTATATACTATCCTTTACATATGTAACGTATATACGTTAAGTTGGATTACGATAACAATGTCTATATTAGAATATATTCTAAGACTTAACATATCATTCCAAGCAAGGATACGTAGAATGTTATCGTCCCCTACGTAATCTTACTAACATTATAAATGCGAAAGTATAGATGGATGTTTGTTAGAGTTTGTAGCTTAAACTGCTGAACGAATCTCTGGAATAAGGATAAACTGGAAGAACACATAGGCACATTCTCTTTTGTTTTTTTTTTAAATATCACGCGGATGGAGTCGCTAACAACAGCTAGTTAGTTAATTTATAAGTATTCGTAACACAGAAGTCAACAATGGATAGTAAACAACGACTAATTGACATATAGTCTAAATCTCTAGAGTAATAAGTCCAAAAACTCTGAATAGATTTTTTTCTCAAGCTCAAAATCTTCATTTCCAGTATAAAAACGAGTCACCTGCAAGTCGAATATGTAAAATGAGATAATAGTTCGGAAAACCTGACAAATTATTAATATTAATGCAATAAAACTACATTTAGTTTTAGTAATAATTTATTAATAAAAGCATATTATTAGAGGTTCAATTACATTAATGCAATAATACATTTTAATGCAATTTTTAATCGAGAGAAATTTTTTAAATTCCGTCGTTAACAGCTTTCGCAGGAGTCACTTTTATGGTTTTTGTAGTTTTCGGTCGCTCATCTATAAAGAAAATATTAACATTTGTATTACATACATCAGCGTTTTTACCCCTAGGGTACAAAACATATAGCTGAGCAAATGCCCTATCAGTTCTGCATTGCAACGCATTGTCAAATTGTTTATATATTTTGTTTTTTTTTTCCTCTTCAATTTTCTTGTCATTAGTTTTGATTGTTTATGATTGGTTTTCGTTTTTCTCGTTTGTATTTTTTTTGTTCAAGTGTATTATGTTGTATTGTGTTGCAGTGTGTTTTGGAACTGATTAAATGTGTATTATTGTTATTATACAAGACGAGAATAACATATTAACAGTTCTTTGTAAGTTTCTTATCTTTAATAATAAGCATAGATGAATTATAATTAACTGTCTTCAATAAGCATGTTACATGTAATCAATTATGACTTAATATTTTTATACTTGTATTATTTTATCTATTTATTTATTAGAAGTACTCTTTATTAAGTGTTAGATAATTATTCTTGTTCTCTAGTCACGTAGACAATGTAATAAAAATACTTACCGTCGCCTGCATTCCAAATAGTTTCTGTGATTTCTTCAACAATGGTTCCGTTAGCATGTATTGTAGTTTTTCTGTCCTTTTCAATTTTAGGCTGTGACTGAACGTTGATGATGTAAAGAAAATTAGGATTGTCATCACTGACTAGCTTCTTCCAAAAGTCAGGATCTGTTGTACTAAACCACATTAATGGCTTAGCAAGGGACAAGAAATCTGTAATTGAAAACAATTGAAAAAACAATCAAATATTTTATTTACTGTCTCAAAATAACGAAAGTGTTGTTTATAATTAAGTAGAACTGTAACCACCTGAAGGATAAGACAACAGAACAGTGTAAGTCATGGAGTCCCACACTCAAAGTGGTAGGCAGAGACCACTCTCCACTATCTCCATTTTGTATAATCCTGACACACCTCTTCTACATTCTTACATCCACGCATTCACGCACTTCGGTTTCGGTTACCAGGAGATTTAATAAAAACTAACCTAAACTAACCTTCATCATAATCTTCATCCGTTTCTTCGGTATCTTTCAGAATTTTTACATTATTGTTAGTTTTCAATTGGTTTTTAAATTCATTTGTTTTCGTACAATTCGGTTGTGTTTCACTTTCTACCCTGTCATGATTCAATGAAGAATTATTGTTTACGATTTCCGGTTTATTTTCAGATGTGATATTATCAGTTTTGATGTTCGTTTTATTTTGTAAGACTATAGAAGATACTACTTCTTTAGAATCATTCAAATGTAAATCATCATCTTTTTCAAGTTTACTAGTAACTTTTTGACTATTCTCGTGGTTTGAAATCACCGTTGACATGTTAGCTTTATTTTCTTGATGTAACTTTTGATCACTGTTCAATATCAGGTCGATAGGTGGTTTTTGCCTGTTACCATCAATCGCTGTCAGGTTTTTAAGTGGTGTTTTATTATTCGTCACAGAAATATCACTGGATTTTGTTGTCAGAGTATCTTCTTGATTCTTCACTTTGTATTCCTGTGAATTCGTGGGCGTAATTAAAATATTGTTCTTAAGTTTTATAGGTTCTTTGGTTGGAGTTTGTAGCTTTTGCGATTTTTCACTATCTACTGTAACTGGTATTTTTGTCGTTGTATGTAGAGAACCAAAATTATAGTTTGATTTGTTCATTGGTGGAATAATTTTCGGTTGGATGTTACTTTCTATTTTTGGCTTAAGTGTGCTTTTCAAAATGTTCAGCGGTCGATTAAATTTTATATTTGCATTGGGATCGGAGTTACGTGCTGTAGCTAGAGGAATTTTAGGTTTTTGATTCGGTATCAGTTTACGAATATTGTCTGCTATTCTAATATGCGGATACTTTCTCAATATAGTTTCTAAATCTTCAAAATATTCGACAGACCCATTATCGTGGATAACAGTAAAACGTCTATTTTGAGGGGAATGATTTGTTTGTATATTATTTCTGTGTTTCTGTACCGTTCGTTGTGGCTGTATGTGTCCTGGAAGATATGAAAATCTTGAATTATTGAAATACATAATGGACTTAGTGTACTTCTAATACATGTATGTTTTTAATTTTTACTATAGTAATATATATAATATATAGTATATATATATATATATAATATATAGTATATATATATATATATATACTATAGTAATATATATATATATAATACCTACCTTCGTGATTAAGTACAGTTTGTTGACTGGCCGCTGATTTTTGATGGTTAAAGGCATTGTTTATTACAGACCTTTGGCCCTTATTAATATGGGGCGCTAGTTTATTTGAAAGTTGCTTCTTAACATGTGGAACATTTGTCGCAGGTTGCAGTGTTGATGGAATTAATGTTTTCACATTTTCGTTTTTAACAAGATCAGTTTTAGTTCTTACTACATTTTTATCTTCGACTACAGGCATAAAAGGTGTCACTTTAAAGTCTTCTGCATGATTATTAGGTCGATTGTCTTCGTGCTTCAAAATATCTTTCCTTGGCAATGTTGCCGTGTATTGATTTCCATTGTTATGAAATTTTTCAATTCTTTTATTTGGTAATGATATATGTTCACTTGATAATTGACCCCTAGGTACATTTAATGGTTGTCGAAATGGCAATAATGACGGATTTTGTGAGGGAACTTTCATATTCTGATCATATTGTGTTAAAATTGGGACGTGATTATTAATATTTCTTGAAATATTGGGTGGATCCAAAGGTTTATTTGTATTATGACCATTTTGTACATTATTTCGGTTATTCAAATACATTTGATGTGTGTTTTTAAAATTCAAACCATTGTCAATGTTAACACCAGACACTGAAATAATTAAAAAAAAATTAAACACTAGTATATTTAGTTAGTAAAATAAGTTTACATTACTGAATAATTATGTACTCACAAGCAGTTTTTACGGAGAACACTACCGTGTAAAACACAATGAATTTATTACACATTTTAAGAACAATTTAGTTGAATTTCAGAACTATACTGTAACTTGAAGACCCACATTACTGCAAATGGAATAAACATTGTACCGTCGAAAAGCTGTGTACACACAGACCCGTTGTTACTGTGAACTCGTGGATTTGCGTAAATAAAAATGTCAATTGCGTCAAAATGAATACAGACTTAATTACGAATAAGCTATAGTTACACTTTCCATATTAATTGCTGGTGCCAGACGTTGGCTAACAATGTACACATTTAAGGATGTAATGTTAAAAACTTCTCAGTCTAAGAGTTATCCAAAAAGTTAAAAAGTAGAAAAAAAACATCGATACTGAAATACTAAACAACTTTCCTTTTATTAACAGCTAAAAATCTCTTAAGCACGACTAGCTAGTACAATTTAATTAAACAGAGGAAGTCATCTCTACTAATGTTATAAAGAGGACAGATTTGTATTTTTGTATTTTCGTATATATTAACATAACTCAAAAACTTCTGGGCTGATTTCAATAATTCTTTCACCAATATAAAGCTACGTTATCAGTAAGTAACATAGCCACACAACCACATTTAATATGGCCCCTTTACATCATATGACAAAAGTGTGACGTACTAAATAGTACAAGATTTTCATTGTATTTTCTGTCAACCTTCGGGAAAAGCAAGCGAAGTTGTTTTCTTTCATAGCATTGTCATAGTTTTGATTTCATTAATAAGCCTGGGAAATCTAGGTCAACTATGAATTCAGTTATTTTACAATGTTGTTTTGAACTGTCTTCGTTCACACTTGTGCAAGTAAGACTGTATTGCGCATAAACTTTATTTGGAAATTTGCCACAGACCTTTGTGGAAACTATGTTCGTAGAAAACTCTGGAACAAACTGAATTAAGCAGAGTATGTGTTCATGTTTATTTATTGTTACTAATGAAGCCCTGTTTTGCTTTAAATCGATTACAGAAACTTAATATTTGCAAAACATTTTAGTTCGTAATTAATTTTATTAATACTTTTCATGAAGCCTTCAACGATTTAGTTTATAATTTAAACAATGAAGAAGCCAAATAAAACAGTAACTATTTTTAAAATCGACGACTGAAAATCATCATATTTCACAAAAACTCTTTTCATTCGCTTGCTGTAACGTCATCTCAGCAGAAATTCAACGCTGGAATGCTGAAACCAGACTTTTTCATTCAGAACTTTTGGAATATATCCGTGTCGAAGAGAAGTGTCCGGATATTGTTTCGCTTTAACAGATGTCTATTTTCTTTTGGAACTGTATACGTGCAATTCTCATTTGTACGCTTGTATGGTAGTAGAAGTGGGAATGGATAGTAAAGGAAATGTCTCTCCTCTGTCCATGTTCTGTAACTATTCTACTTAGGTATTGTAGATATAGAAATTTCGGAGATAATGAAGGAGGCCATGATAAAGATAAACAATTTAATTTATAAGAAACTACATTCTTAAAAAGAATTGAAAAAAAAAGTGCAAACGTCTACAGCCAACGCCATCTATTGAGTGTATTGAAAATCACATTCTTGCTAAAAACGATTCTTTTGTTTGTGCGTGCATTTTATTTTTATAAACTTTCAATAGATGGCGGACTAATTAATTACTTTATCAAAAAGACAGTTAATTAAAATTTGTTTACTAGTATGTATGTAAAAAAAATACAAGAAACACGAGCAGTTTTAGTTAAATTTATTTTAATTATGATCCTATCTAAAAACCTTATCTGGAAATTGAATTTATATCAATCTAAGAGTCGTCTTTACTCTTGACTAAAGATTTGTGGTAAGCATGACTTTTTTTGTATTAACCTAATACCGAATGATAAATATGAAACCGAACGCCGGATGCCAGTTAATATAGCGTGTGTTTAAACATGTTAAACGTACAAACATGACAAGGTCAATGTTAAATGCGCGTCTAGTGATGCAATCATAAACAAATATCGACAGTCAACATTTCTACTGATAAATATCTCTTATCACGTTAAAGTCGATCATTTTTTAACATCTAATTCAGGCAGAATTTAAGCTATATGGAAAATACTGTATTGGTTCAAGGTCAAAAAGCTGAAATGAAAAACGAAACTATTGTGGCTTCGATAGAATTCTTATAAATTGTCAGATAACAATCCGACATGTAAAATATGTTAGAAATATCGGATTTTGGTACTCTCTCTGACAGTGACGTCACTATGTCTGACGTCTCGTCAGTCAGTGGTGGGACAGGCCCTAAAACGTTTATCGTCCAACGTCATGATTGTTCTGTACCCAAACTCGCAGAAAAACCAGATGTTACGAAGGCATATAGAGGACGCCATGTTACTGTACGACGTCACAACTGGCCAGTGACCGTAAATAACCAGTTGCCGGGCTAGTATGCATGTAATCTGATTCGTCATGATTCTCAATATTGATTATTTTTCTTTTCATCGACGTGGGTTTTTGGTGAGAACCTTTTACATGGCTATATATTTTTTGCTTGTTAAGTTATTTTCGTTATTTCTTGGAGGTTTTTAGATTACTAATTAATTAAATTAATTATACAACTATTTACTAATTACTAAAAATATATAGACTGATCTTATGGCCTACCTCCTTTTTCTAATGTAAACTTTCTAAACACATATATTAACGATGGTTAAAGAGCGCCTTGATCTGACAAAATACAATACCAATTTTATAATTTATTGTTACACTAGCTTTCGCCTGCGACGCCGTCCGCGAGGAATTAAAAAATAAAGTAGCTTATGTATTCTTCCAGACTATCCTCTATATCTATGCCAAATTTCATCGCAATCCATTCAACCGTTTGAACTCTAACAAAGATCCATCCATCCATCTAAACTTTCGGATTATTGAGATAACAAAACCAACAGGATAAAAAAATATGTCTATTAGCAATAAACCCATTTAGTATTATTAATTACAATGTGTCATTGGATTTTAATAATAAGATACTAATGTTACGTGCCTAGAAGCGTGTAGTGTGGATGATTGATTATTATAAAAAAAACATTAAAAAACAACAACCTATAAAATATTTAAAGGACTAGTTGTAGACCGCTACTTCGTCCACGCAATATTAAAATAAAAAGTGGCCTATAATATGCCCGTCTATGTTAGCTTCAGTAAAAGTCCGGTCGAAAACGGAGGTTGCCCGGAACAATTAGTTAAATGCGATTTTCGTTATAAGCAATGCAAATTCATCTTCCCTGAAATCTGGAATTTTTCTTTTACAAACAGACATCCTAATTTTATTATATGTATAAATAGATAGATATAGATCATAAATAAACGCGAAATAACAAGGGATAGACTGTACACCAATACTATAATAGCAAAAATAACATTTATTCATTTAATTTCATGTTACTTATCAATTCGTTCCTTTAAATTGGTTTGTTCTTCACTAAAGAAATAAATTATATCTACTCTGCCTTTTGCAAAGTGAAAGGTGCAGCAATATTCATTTTATGTTGGGAAGGAAAGGGACTAATATTAGGCTGTAGGCACGTAATTGGATTTTTCCCAACCGTCACCACGCTCTGTCCCCACGTGGAGACAAATGAGAATAAAAAAAATTAAATCGTCCCACTTTTTGCGACGAGGGGAAGGATGGAACTTATTGATAATAGTGGGACTAAAAGGTGGAACGGTTGAAACTTTTTATTCTCACGTGGAGGGACAGAGCGGGGTGACGGTTGGGAATAATCAACGAAATTAACCCGTAAACAAATATTCATTGTATACGATATGCATACTCGTACTATTTAACATAAAAATATTTTAATTCAATGCATATTAATCGATATAATAAATTATTAATTGTTACTACGCGTTAATAATTGTTATCGTTAGTGAAATAACATTTACTGTAATTAGGAAATTCTATGCATCAATTGTTTATCTTAAAACAACAAGAAAACGCGAAACTATTTTCCATTTATTGTAACCGCGGTTTTCTGCTGACGAAATATTAATACAAACCATATCATATTCTCTACAAAACATTATATTTTTATTAATGTGTTACAGTGGGAACGAGAATCCCACCAGATTCATATAATAGCAACTGTTATGCAATATAAGGAAACTTGTTGAAGTATTTTTGGGGTAAGCACGCCTTAGTCCCGTTCCCAATTCCTAATCGTAAGTCAGTTAAGTTTCCGTATTCACTACGTCAGTGTTAGGAACGAGGGAATCCCTTGCCGTTCAAATCATATACAAATACAAGCGGCAGTTGTAAATTTTTTCAATACACATCGCGATTTCTAACCAACCAGTTGACGTATTGTTAATTTTTAATATTGTCTATTGTTTATTTTATTTGTTTACTTTGGAATTTTCAGTGTGCGATATATACGATTTTTTCTTCGAACGTAGTTTTCAATATTTCATAATGTTGAAGATATTTATAGTTTTTTCAGTTGTGTTTATTTATACGGCATACGCAGGTAATTTAAAATTTTTATCATTTTTTATGTTATTTTAATGGTGAATAAAAAAAATGTGTAATAAAAAAAAGTTAATGAACAGTTTTTCGTCACTATATTATATCTATGCTTTTGTAAAATTACAAAAACAGGATAAAGTTTACTATATTTCTATTAACAGAAACATTACAAATATTTTATTTTTTTTATAATTAAGGCCATTCGAAATAAGTTTATCAACTTCCCCTTATGGCGGAATTCGAACCAACGACAGCTAGAATGGTAGTCAATACTTTTTCCGATAGAATCGAACAGGGCCGTAGGCTTTAAAGCTAAACACGCTAAAATCAAAATCTCACGTATTTTCCTCTAACTAGTTCAGTAGTTTTTTTTAATTACTTGTTCGTAACATTGGACATAACCGAATTTAAGGATAATAAAATAATTTATAACCATTTCAGCTGTAATAACATGCGGGCCTAATGAAGAGTTAGACCGGTGTCCCTCAAACTGCACGGATGCTTGCCCAACAAGAAGCGGAGAGTTTAACAACTGCAGACGACCTAACAGACAACATTGCCCGCCTCCGAAGTGCGTCTGTCAATTTAACTACCGACGAGCTGAGAATGGAACTTGCATCCCTACAACAGAATGTCGTAAGTATTTTATTTCGGAAACAATTTGCACATGTGTCAATCTATCTTTTTTTTTTTTTTTTATAATACGAGGTGACAAACGAGCAAGCGGCCACCTAAATCCACCGAAATGGAAAGCGACCGCTGCCCATAAACATCCGCAATTGCAGATGCGTTGCCTACCCTAATTGACGGAGGAGGAGACGCACATAAAGAGGACATTTCCCCTTCCTATGCGTCTCCTCCACCGTCAAATCCACTTTTCCCTCCCATCCTTTTCCCTTAAGAAAAGGTTGGAAAGGAAAAGGGACTAAAGTTAGGCCTCCGGCACCACACTCATCAGACGAAACGCGGAATTGCTTCCACTTCACGCCTGTTTTCTGTGTGGTCGTGGTATTACACCGGGCGAGCCGACCCATTTGTGCGAAGATGTTAAAGCGGGCTCTACCACTGTTAAATCACTACCACATCTGTCGTCTGATAAGGGACTAGAGTTGGAGACGCACAAAATTTTTCTGACGAGTGGTACTAGATGCTGTCTATTTAGAGCGTACATCTGAAACTAAAGTCTAGTTTGAATCCTAGAAGGCGCACACTGCTATATTTTTAGTTGTCCAACTAAACAGTTGAATTGACTGCGAAACACTTGACAATCGCATAACAGTTGTGCGGTTGTTTGAACCAACGTTGCTTCCATTTTTATCAGTATCAAGTCTCCAGGTTTTTCCATTTAGTACTCTAAAAATGTTTCAATACAAAATGATAATCGATTTGTATTTTACCTTAGTTTACAATAGCCTAAATATTCATATATAAAAACCAGAAAACAACAAAAGAAATCCGTCCTGTCAATCACGCAATAGTTAACAATCCTTTGTTACTTCTCTGATGTAAATGGATGACGTATGGTCATTTATTAGTAACGACTTCTTTTGTATTGCTGTACTTATAATTCGTCGATTAGAGTGTCGATAAATGTTCGGCTATTGCTCCTATTGGTCATATGTATTTCAGTTACTAAGTTTTTCTTGCGACATAGCCAGGAATTAGAAAAAATAACTTAGTAAGAAGTCTAAGATCGTACGCACGCTAAAACTAAACTATTGTACAATTGTTTAGTTTCACATTGATTCCTATCAGCTTATATGGAGGTGAGCATACTACTCCATTAGTTGTCCAACTAAACAGTTGAATTGGCTGCGAAACAATCGACAGTCGCACAACACTTGTGCAATACTATAGTCAAAGGTGTGCGCCCACTGTATGTGGTCTATCAGACTGGGTGCTATAGGTAGCTATAGATATGTTTGGTATAGACCAAACATATTCATTAAGTGTGGAGAGTAAGCTTTGGAGTACGTAACATCCATCCAAACATATAGCAATTAACATATAGCAACTATATAAACATATAGTTAGTTATAGTTCTTTAGACATATAATGTCTAAAGAATTTATTAATTAAACGGACATTTTTCTCATAATTAATTTAATGGAATCTTCGTTCAAATGAGATATATAACCTATTTACGTCAGATATAGAAAACTAACCAATCAGAATACCGTGACAACACGTTCAGTAAACACGGAAATGTAAAATTGTGAAAATTATATACACCTTTATAATTTAACGATAAAAAATTGTACTGATAACATTGGCTATAGCCAATAGTTACATTTAATGAATTTATTTAGACACTAGCTGTTGCCCGCGACTTCGCCCATGTAATAGAATATAATATGCCTGTCTATGTCAGTGAAAGCCCGGTCGAAATCGGCCCAACTGATATCACCCGAAACTAACGCGGCTTTCGGACAGACAGACAGACAGACAAAATAGTTTAAATGCAATTTTCGTTATCAACAACGCAAATAAATCATCTTCTCGAAATCTGAAATTTTTCTTTTGATATAAAGTCTATGCTATGAAATTTCTCAATGTGAATTATTTTTTGGATGTCTATTCATGAACGCACTTCTATATGTAAACTGTCAATCCGTTCGTGGAGTTACAGTAACAATAATCATAATTTTATTTGTTTACAGTTGCATTCGACTGTCCTAATGAAAACGAAGAATATAATCCCTGTCCCGGCTACTGTCCCACAGACGACTGCAGTCAAGCGACGCCGAACGGAGAATGCCCTTTTTTCGGTTTGTTCCTAATTGTCGTTGAATGTCTACCAACTTGTAGATGCCAACCAACATACTGGAGAAAGGACGGCGTTTGTGTCCCCTACCAACAATGCTTACTTAACAAAGAGTAATCGTGATTGGTAATTTAAGAAACACGTGACTGATCTAATTATTTAGGAAATTCCGGTGAATTATTCACGTTAAGTATTTAAACGTCTCTTGAAAATAGCTAAAGTTATAAAAGTCAAAATGTAATACATGATTAAATACTTCAAATAAATAAATAAGAATTAATATGACATTACAGAGAAGTTAAATTAATTCAGAGATGAAATAACTTAAAAGTCACTGCCAGGTTTTACCATTTTACCATCCTTGAGGAAAATGTAGCAACAAGGGAAAAAAATGTTTGATCCTCAAATAAAATTTGTACAAATATGAGTTCCATTTTTTTAAAGTAAGTTCCTGTGTTTGTTCCTGTAATTTATTATTAAGAACATTGATTATTGATTCTTTCCGTTAGTGCAATTTATTGTTGTAAATATTTATTTGATTTAATAAATTTTAAGATACATATGTCTCTGAATTATTTTCGTCCATTCTAGTGTTTCTTTTTTTTTTTTTTTTATAACATAAGGTGCCAAACGAGCAAGCGACCACCTGAAACCGCCAAAATGGCGAAGCGACCGCTGCCCATAGACATCCGCAATTGCAGATGCGTTGCCTACCCTTATACGACGGAGGAGGAGACGCACATAAAGAGGATATTTCCCCTTCCCATGCATTTCCTCTACCGTCAAATCCACTTCCTCTCCCCAACCTCTCCTTGTAAGAAAAGGATGGTAAACAGAAAGGGACTTAAATTAGGCCTCCGGCACCACACTCATCAGACGAAACACGGAATTACTTCCATTTCACGCCTGTCTTCTGTGTGGTCGTGGTATTACACCGGGCGTGCCGGCCCATTCGTGCCAAGATGTTAAGGCGGGCACTACCACTGTCAAAACTAGTCTACTCAAACAAGTCTAAAACTAGATAGTAAGAAAATATAAAAGTGTTTAATTTCAATTCCTATGACATGACGTGTACAATCAGGAGATCTGCCGATGTTCAATCTTGAACATTGCAGTTTGAAAATGTACGCATTGAGACAATAGGACGCAATTTAAATGTATTGGTAAGAAAAAGGCACAGGCACGTTGTTAATTGTTTTATTGGCCTTTCGTTTGCGCATGTCACCTCTATCTAACTGGATATTTGTAAGAAGAAGCGTTTGTGTTGTAAAGAACAAGATAATTTTTTATAAGTGGGACATCGCAAATTTCCGCGATTGTACAATTGAATGTAGCAACTTACAACAGATAATTTTAGTCTAAAATAAAAGACTACACAAGACCTAAATTGATAATATGACAGGATGTTCGGCTGTCGTATCGCTTAAAGGTCAGAACATATCTTGTCCTAAATAAATTTGATATCTTCTAGGTTATATGTTAGTACATGTGAAATTGCGCTAAGTACAATGTATTTCATATAAACGTTCAAGTCATAGTTGTTTATTTTGAGTTTTCATCTATACGGGGGTACCGGGTGGTCCATATTAAACTAACGAAGTTAGCGGGCGACAGCTCGTTGATTATAAAATATAGCCTATGTTACTCACAGATAAATTACCTTTCTGATGGTGAAAGAATTTTTAAAATCGGCCAAGTAGTTTTTGAGTTACTTCAATACAAAAATACAAAGTTTTCCTCTTTATGATATTAGTACAGATTTACTTTTATTGCTCATAGTGTTTTACCTTATATTTTCAAAAGGCAATTTTGCAAATCTGACTGAAACACTCTGTAAAAAATAAAGGCGCTTATCCAACGGTTACGACGCATGTTATCTTGTAGCCATGCTTTACTTTAGATTTAACTAAATGCCATATATCAATTCGTAATTCCTATGCAGACAAGGGTAGAAAATCCCTAGCTTTGAAGCGAAGTGATTTCACAGCCATCAGACACCATACTTCCCTCGTAAATGTTGACACAGGTAACAACTATAATCAAAATAAATAAATAAATAACAAATAAATAGAATTTTCATTGCCACAAAAAAGCTAATACAAAAAAAGAGAGAGAAATATGGCAAAAGGTGGCAAGCTCAGCTAATGCAGGGACGGCGCAGGCCGTTACTGCGCTGGTTTTCAGCTGGCCCCTTTACACATGAGTATTAACACATAAGTCTTATAACGTATAAGGTGGAATAACTTTATTAACACCTAGCATTATTAGTTTACTATCTTACTTACTAGTTTTACTATCAGCAACAACACATCGTAAACTAGATTAAGTTACCATATCAACGTTTTTTATTAATTTTAAAATAATAAATCAAGTAGAACAACACGTTCTATACATTAAACTACATATTACGATCTAAGAGAAGCTATATAAGTCACGTTTCGTCCTGTGTTAATGTTTCTTGAAAATGCTGCTTCGTAATTGTTTTTTAATTCTTTGCATATGTCTATTTTTACACACTGCAATCGCTTCAGGTAAACTTGTCTTTAAATTATAATTATAAATTAGCAACATCAGTAACCAAGCTACAATTATCAGAATCGTTCCAAAGTATTACGCGTCACTAAACTTGCTACTAGTATAGATAAGGCATAGGACAAGTTGTCAAATATACTCTGTAACTAATAATTAGTTATGGACTACATTTATGTCAAATATACTATGTAACTAATAATTAGTTATGGACTACATTTAACTCATCTCAGTGTCTACTTATACAACACAAAGAGCTTGAACCAGATCAATAAATTTTTAATTACTTAATAAATACTGTATGGTGTACTGTGGACTACTTTGAAAGAAGAAGTGAAAATTGAGCTAAAGTCCGCTATATACAGCTGAACAGTTCGACTTTTCTGTTAAAACAGAACTAAGCGTCTGAACCGGAATTGATTACCAAAAACAAGTAACAGAATAAGCGTTGATATTATAATAATTTACTTTTTGTTACAGCAAAACTGAGGTGTCGTAAGAATGAAGTTCTCGTAATGAACCCGACGCCGTGCGCCGACCGCGTCTGTCCTCGAAGTCTGAAAGCGCTGCGTGAAGGCTGCATCACTCATGCCAATATCAAGCTGCCACCTAAATGCGTCTGCAGGTTTAACTACAGCCGCGACCGACGGGGGAGGTGCATTCCCACACATTCTTGCCGTAATTACTACATTAAAACTAAGTATTTAGTTTATAATAGCAATTAATAATAGTTTCCAATTATAACGATCCAGGCACATGTTTAATTAAAAAAAAAACAAAAGTGAGTAGCCTACGAGTTCCTCCAGACTATCCTCTACATCTATGCCAAATTTCATCGAAATCCGTTTATTAGTTTAGACTACAAACTCTAACAAACATCCATCCATCTAAACTTTCGCATTTAAAAAAACATATGGTAGGATACGTTGACATTTTAATATGATTTCATCTGTGTGACCAATCCTTGGTCAATTTTTGGCCAAAGATTTTCAAAATTTTACTATTCTCAGCTCCTATCGCATGCGGGCACAATGAGATATTCGACGCATGCCCACCTCTGTGCCCCAGTGATGACTGCAGTCAAGCAACGCCATCAGGCAGATGCCCAATCATTGGCCGCATAGGTATCGTGGTGCAGTGCAAACCTCAGTGCCGCTGCGCCTACCATTACTGGCGTAAGGACAACATCTGCGTGCCTTACGAACAATGCAATAGTTGGTATTTTTAATAGTGTTAGTAAACATAGATACTATAGTATACAACAAAGATTTTTTGTTAAGAAATTTTATAGACTTCAAACTACTTTAATTATATTACCCACTAGCTGATGCTCGCGACGCCGTCGCCGTAAAATAAAAAAATAAAAATTATGGCTTACATACTCACTAATCACGTAGCTTTTTAATGTTGAAAAACTTTATGAAATCAGCCCAGTAGTTTTTTAGTTATTTCAATACCTTTAAAAATCTTTCTTCTTTATTGTATTAAGATTTCTTTATTATTTAAGATTACACATAAAACCTTTCTATATTCCGTCAGTAGTAATCATCATGTAGTCATCATCATTCCGTTAAATACCTTTTTCTAAACTTTTTTTTTTGTATTTCAGTAACACCTATTATAAGAGGTAAGACTTAATTTTAATGCAATTTAAAAAGTGTTGACCAAAATTATCTTATAACCTGAGACAGTGCCATGTTTATTTTACTTAAATGGATAAGTCTAATTAAAACTATTCACTATTAACTAAACTTGTGTAATATATGTTTTTGTTAATAAATTTATTTATATATCCGTGTATTTATGATTTATACGATATAATTTTTATAATCATTTTCAGAACCACGTTCGTGTAATGCTACTACGGAGAATATTTAAACTTTTGTAATCTTTGTGTTAATTTACAATACAAACAATAAACTATTTTGCGTAATAATTTATTGAGTTTTTGATAGAAGTATTTAGTCTGTAGAGGTTATTTTTATTAGCATAATTTATGGTTAAAACAAAACAAAGAAAGTATATACGTGTCGGTATCACGCTCATTACCAGAGAATCCAGAGATACCAATTTTATTCACAGCAGTTTTATCAGAAATAATTGGATTTTTTTTAAACAGTAGTCTTGAGATGTCAGTCCATTTAGGAAATTCAATAAGTATATTATTAACTGCTGCGTGCTTGGTGATCTATAAAAAAGAATTACTTATTTAAGATAATGAATAATGTAATAATGAAAAAATATAAGACTGTAAAATATGAATTTGTTTTCTTACTAACCACAGTCTTCGGATGAGATACAACTGTTATTATTATCTCTATAAAATCCGTTTTTACAAACGCATTTAACTCTGCAAAATTCAAGGCTATCTTTCGTACATTCGGAGTTTCGAGTTAGACAAGTTTTCTCCGCACAAGGAGACATGCAGTCCAACATTTCGTTCGCTTTAATGCATCTCATAGGATCTAAAAAAGAGATACAGGTAAAAGAATAGTAAATACATTTTCTGTTATTATACCTTTGTATGATATAATCTTTATTCAGCGAGTCTACAACTTCATAATTCACTCTCAAGAACATGACATCTCACATGTTTTATTAATGTTTTGCCAGTGCGAATATAACGTCACCTTTATTTATTCATAATATAGATCAGTAGGCGATAATAAAAATAAAAACAATAAACAGTCGATTGTTATATTCCTTGTTACAACAAATGAAATAATAAACAGTTTTATCTAATTAAATTCATTATAATTCACTGTTTATTTCCTTATTTACGTATTTTAATTATGTCACGGATTAAAGGCCGTAAAGATGGTATATTTACTACAATTAAATATCTGACGAAATAGAGAAACTAAATGTAATTAAACATTGACCATTCAAGTCATCATCTCCCAGACCTCCTACTCAAGTAGGGTCGGTCCACCAGGATTCCATCGTTCAGATTAATCCTTTATATTAATTTTATATCGATAATCCCTTTTTAATCGATTAATTAATCTCCCTTCCACATTCTTTTTGAACGATCACCTTTCACGCAATCCATCCATCTCTTACCGGTTACACCTCTACAGTACCGGTAGAGGTAGTCTTTTTTTGGATTTCGGTATGAGGCGGAAATACAAAAAATATAGTCACAAAAAATCTCTGATGGCCCTCTGCTGTAATTTTAGGGTCCCGGGACCTCCAATAAAACGTTCCGGTACTCTCTGCACTGAGCTTTTGCTCGATCCCCGAGGAAAACCGGCAGAGATAGGCTAGTGGCCGACCTCTCTCGATACATCCACACTCATGCCTTCCACTTACATTCTAGTATGCAGTAAAAATTATCTTTATTTTTCAGAAACTGGATGCACAAATAATTGCAAAAAATACATGATAATTACTAACCTGCCAAGCTATATTTCACGAGCAACAAAATTGTGCAGAATAAAACAAAACTCATATTAATACGCATGTTGTTAGCTTCGATCGCAAACAACTAATGCGATATTTTCCTCATTAATTAACTTTATATGTATGTTTACTTAGTAACACCATTAGTTTATTTTAGTAGATATGACTTCCGTAGTGCACTCGTAATGGCATTTTCTACCAAATTTTAACAGTTTCCGCCGGGTAACGTTATCTTGAGTTTCTCAAATTTCCTTTTATGTGTTCGCAAAATGGAAACAGTGTACAACCAAAATTGTTTAAATTTCGGTCGTGTTTCGAACAATGTTCATTATAATAAAATTATAAAGTAAGTTCTTCTACATAAATATTTAAATGGAAATGCATATTAGACAGTTTTGCAGGTTTTTTTTCCTAGAAAATACCGACAACGACGGCCGGTGATGGTTACTCTACATTAGGGAAGACTGAAAAGACCTAAGCTGTCAAAGAATAAAACGTTTATCAAATGAAAACATCAATTTAAATGCAAATATTTTATTGACTAAATGACTGCGTTATGTGTACTCTTTGTCAATTTCTAATATCATCGCCAATGACTGCTTGATCTCACGGTGGAACCTCAACAAACTGCCAATAATCTAATTCAAATTCAACAGGATAACTCTCGGTATCTGGCTTAGAATCCGGTATGTAACATCCGTTTCCTGCAGATAAAAAAATATATTTAAACAACTTATTTTCGTCTAAAAACATTAGAACCGTTTTCTTTAATAATTAACTCGCAATTCAAAGTAAAACATAAAATTCCTATTTATCGTGCATTCACGAATTATCACTCTTTGTTTTGAATAGGCATTTGCAGCTTCATTGGGCTTGATGTGGCTAAGTGCAAATTGCGCTAACCCTAAATCTCTCTTTAGAGTAACTAGAGGGCTACCTCAGAACCCTCGGCTCAGTTACTTCGTTTTTATTACCGGAATAGACAAAATAACTCTATTCCCCACACAGTTAAGTCGTCTCCATCTAAGACTAATTTGAATAGTAGCATTTTTTAAACCTTACCAGGAGTATAATCGGGAAAGTCTCCAAATTCTGGACATTCTCCTAGAGGTATACAAGTTGAATTCAGATCCTTTCTAAGATATCCTTCTTTACACGCACATCCCGGCTGGCCTTCCTCTTCAGGGTTACATCTGTAGTCTACATCAAGCGACTTACAAATTTCCGGTGGACATGACTTTTTCTTTGCTTTGTACTCTTCATTAGGACCGGTACATTTTTTATCTGCAAAGTTAATTCTAATGATTAAAAAAACACGCACAGCTACCGCATTAGTTTGTAAAATGCCAATTAGTTTAAACGCCAATAGTCTGATGGGTTTGAGACACACTTTGGGTCGCTGCGCCAACGCAGAAAGTATGGTAAGTAAGCAACTAAAAAAAAAAAATCTACCGATCTTTAAAATAAAAATCTGTTTTTGGCTTCGCATAGTTCGCATAATGCAGTTGTGACACAAGTGTTATCATTATTATGTTATTAAAAAGAATATGTACCACACAAATTGCTCGTGACACAATATCCGTCCGGGTTTCTGTAGTATCCGTCGTTGCATACGCATTTGTTCTCGCAGACTTCAGCAGTGACGTTCGGACATACATAACGTAAGTAACGGCCTATGCAAGTCCTGGGCCTCGGACAAGATTTGACGCATTTCAGGCTTTCGTTAGGCTTGGTACACTTTTTATCTGGAAATTAAAAAAGGAGTAAATCGATAGGTCAATCGAAGCCAAGGTATTAATTAAAGAAATAATAATATTTATTACTAGCTATTGCTCGCGACTTCATCTCCGTATAATTAAAAAATAGTAAAAGATATAGCCTATGTTCCTCACAGATAAATTACCTTTCTAATGGTCAAGATTTTTTTAAAACAGCCCAGTAGTAGTTTTTGAGTGAATTCAATACATACAAAAATACAAAAACATAATTCTTTCCCTTTTATGATATTAGTACAGATGATAAAAAGACTATTGGCTTGTTCTACAACGAAACCTGCGCAGAATTTTAACTCCTTTGCACTCAAATTAATCATTTTTCAAATACGAATCGATAATGTTTCCTATACTTACTATAGTCTGGTGAATTAGCAAGTTCTGGACATTGATTCATTGGAATGCAGGTCGAATTTAAAGACAATCTTAAATAACCTCCCTTACACACGCACCCCGGCACACCTTTGTCTTTAGGATCACAGGCATATCTTGATACAATGGACATGCATATGTCAGGTGCACAATCTCTTTTATTATCTGTATAGACCTCATAAGGACCAGAGCATTTCTTATCTAAAATTATAATGAAACACGATAATTTATTATTGACTAGCTGTTGCTTGCGACATCGTCAGCGTCTTATTTAAAAAAAAACATGAGTAGCTTGAATGTTCCTCCAGACTATCCTCTACATCTATACCAAATTTCATCGAAATCCCTTTACCAGTTTTGGCTACAAACTCTAGCAAACATCCATCCATCTAAAGTTTCGTACTTAGAATATTATTATTAAAGTGTGATTGCTAAAGATTATCTTTGAAGTGTCGATTGACTTACCACATAATTGACTGGTAACACAAAAACCATCAGAATTTCTATAAAATCCTTTGTTGCAAGCACATTGCTGTTTACAAGGCGCGGATGCATTGACGAGACAGTGGAAAGTCTTATTTTTGTTATCACAAGTGTTTAAAGGAGGACATGCTCTTACACACTGTGAACTTTCATTTGGAAGAGTGCAATTTAGAGGAGTTGCTGTAAGAGTATAGAAGAATAATTAATAGAATAAGGAAACACGTGTATTTTCAACGATTTTTTTTAATAACATAGGATTCTGGGAGGGCCTTGGGCGAATATATCGGTAATGTTTTAGATTGCAAAATAAACTAGCTGTTCCCATGCGCCTAAACTTATAAACATTTCATTTTATTGTTCACATTTGTCAAATTATCAATTGCAAATGTCAAAATGACATGACATTATGTCAAACCATGACAACCTTGCTTCCTTGATGTTGGCAACAACTTATGGTCTCTTTCCCACGTTAGGGTTTTTATCCAAAATATTCACCCCTAAGTTTAACGTGAAAATATATAGCCTAAATCGTGAAGTAAGTGTAGGGCATTTTATTAAAAAAAGAGTTATTCGAAAATATGATGCGATTGCTGAGATCTTAGGCAACAAAGAAGTGTGTGTTTACGCTTTATTATATTAAGTACAGATCGACTTACTATTTGTAGAGTTTGCTGAACACTGCTCCGACGGTATACAAGTCGAGTTAATATTTAATCTTAAATAGCCAGGCTTGCAGACGCAACCCGGCTGCCCTTTCTCTTCTGGGTCACATCTATATAAAGCCAATTTAGATTGACAAGTTTGGGGAGGACATTTCTTTTTATCCGCCTTGTAAACTTCGTTTGGTCCGGTACAGTTTTTGTCTGAAAAAAAAATTACGATTGTTATTTTATTCATGGTTAAGACTTCAAAATTAAGGGCCTGTCCCACCTCTGGCTGATAGAGGCTCAGATAGCTTGATAGTCACTGTCAGATATAATACCTAAATCCGATATTTCCATCACATATTTTATACGTTGGATATTTACAAAAGTTGTGCGACAGGCCCTTAAAGTAGTCTAGTAATAGATACTCATTTGTAAAAAAGATATGAAATTCGTCAATTTCTTTTAAATGTTTTTAAATTTTGAAACTTATTCAGTGTTTCTTTTACCACAGAGTGCGCTTGTTACGCAGAATCCGTCTTCATTTCTATAATACCCATCATCACAGATACATTTGTGTTGGCAGATCTCAGTCTTGTTCTGGAGACAATTGGTGAATACGCCACGGTTCCTGCACATTTTCGGCGGGGGACACGACTTCACACATTTTAAACTCTCGTTCGGTAAAGTGCATTTAGTTTTATCTGAAAATCGATAATTTTATTTACTACCTGGTGCTCGCGACTTTACCCGCGTGTCTTTTTATTCAAATATATTCTATGCTATTGATAACGTAGCTTTTTAATAGTGAAAGAATTTTTAAAATCGGCCCAGAAGTTTTTAAGTCATTTCAATACATACAAAAATACATTCTTTCCACTTTATAATATTAGTATAGGTGTAACGTTCCTGTTTTCTTTATATTACCACAAAATATAAAATTTCCAACGTAATTTTTTTTTTACACCTTGTACTATATCATTGTATCGAAATGTCTTATCAAAAATTTTCAAATGGGGCATTTATGTAAAAAGCAATGTTGAGGAAAAAAAATGATGTATTTCGAATCTTACTATAATCAGGCGATCCTTTTAACTCTGGACACTCTTTAGTCGGGATGCAAGTTGAATTCAAATTCAATCTCAAAAATCCCGGCTTGCACGCGCAGCCCGGCTGGCCCTTGTCTTTAGAGTCACATTTGTACCTTGCAATAATAGACCGACATATCTCAGGTGGACACGATTTTTTGTCTGATTTGTACTCCTCGTTAGGACCTGTACATTTCTTATCTGAAAAACGTAAGTAACGTAAAGATAAAAATTACAAGCTAACAACATTAAGGAAGCAAGGTTGCCATGGTAACGGTAAGTGTTTTGACATTTGACATTTGCAATTAAAAATTGTGAACAATAAAATAAACTTTTTATAATTTGATGCGGATAAAGCCTTACGGGAATAGCTCGTATAAAGTAAGAGTCGAGTAACATTACTATCCTATGTTTCGTGTTCTTCCTGGCTATTGTACAATATAATATACAAATAATACCATTACGAATACTATCTCTTATATCTTCTCTTATATATCCAGGTGGCCGCTTGCTCAAAGCAAAATTGCATGACTATGTTAATTGGAATTTAAGTTAGCGTTATACGTTACCACATAAATTACTCGTGACACAAAATCCATCGGGATTTCTATAGTATCCGTCGTCACAGACACACTCGTTCTTGCAGGCCTCAGTTGTATTGAAACATTTGTAACGTAAGAAGCGACCTGCGCATGTCCTTGGTCGAGGGCACGACGTTACACATTTCAGACTCTCGTGAGGCTTAGTGCAATCTGGAAATTTTATACATTTAACTTGTCTGTTAGTGTAATTGTTGCAATCAGATTCATAAAGTTCATCTTAATGTAGACTTACTTTCAAATATTTACAATTAATGTCGCTCAAATTGATCAATTAACGACTGTGAGTGCGTAAAAGGAAACCTTAATTTAGGGTATAACTAGCTTTCGCCCGCGACTATGTCCGCGTAGAGTTAAAAAAACGAAAAACAAAAGTGAGTCGCCTATGTGTTCTTCACGACTTTCCTCTACATCTATACCAAATTTCATCGAAATCCGATCATCTGTTTGGGCTACAAACTCTAACATCCATTGATCCATCTAAACTTTAGTATTTATAATATTAGTATGATAGTAAGATTAATGTGGATACACTTACTAGGTAGATTATTACCCGGTGCGTTAGCTAATTCAGGGCACTGGTTCGCCGAAATACAGGTTGAGTTTTCATTCAGTCTCAAAAAGCCTGATTTACAGACGCAACCTGGTTGACCTTGCTCCTTTGGATCGCACGCGAATTTTGATACTATAGAACTACATAGATCTGATGGGCATTTCTTTTTGTCCGGCTTATATTCCGCATTTGGGTCGTTGCATTTCTTATCTAAAAATTAACACAGCTACAGTTTATCTTCAACTCCTTAACTATAAGAGTAAAGTTCCCACAAAAAACTGTATTCTTATTGAAAGTTGGTGTTACACGTTACCACACAAATCACTTGTGACACAAAATCCTTCCGGGTTTCTATAGTATCCGTCGTCACAGACGCACTCGTTCTTGCAGGCCTCAGTTGTATTGAAACATTTGTAACGTAAGAAACGACCTATACATGTCCTTGGTCGAGGGCATGATTTGACACATTGCAAACTCTCGTGAGGCTTGCTGCAATTATCTAAAAAAGTTAAACACTTTATTAGTTTGATGGCCTAACTATCTAAGTCATATAGTATTTCACATCATTGCGTACCCAAACCTTTGACAACTATTGTGTAGTCGCGCTTTGATTCCTGTGCTTATATGGAGGTGCGCACACTAAGCCATTTTAGTTGGACAACTAAGCAGTTGAAAGTACTACGTAACAATCGACTATCACACAACTATTGTGCGATAGTTTAGTCAAAGGTGTTACCGCTCTTAGTATGATCATCATAGTAGGCTATTCATAAACAAATAATGTAATGTGAATATACTTACTAGGGGGTTTATTACCCGGTGCGTTAACCATTTCAGGGCACTGGTTCGTTGGAATACATGTGGAGTTTTCATTCAGTCTTAAAAAGCCTGATTTACAGACGCATCCTGGCTGACCTTGCTCGTTTGGATTGCACGCGAATTTCGATACGATGGACCTACATAAATCTGATGGGCATTTCTTTTTGTCCGGTTTATATTCTGCATTCGGGTCGTTGCATTTCTTATCTAAAATTGTTAAAGCAAAATTTGTTTCTCTTATTAATCTTAGAAAGTATGAGAATATAGTTACTAGGGAAGATATAATCTATAAAAGGTATTAATAGCTTAGTTGTCTCTATCAATTCGGAATCAAATCCACTCGATGAAAATATAACGATAACAGCTAGTTAACTAGACTAATAAAATGCTGAGCAATCCATTTACACACTTTTTTTTTGTAATAAAAATATTAGTAGATTTTTAATAATTTACTAACATTTCCATTAACCATTCCAGCTAAGCTCTAGGCTTGTGGTAGGGTATGGTTCACGACAGTAGTCGAATTGCGAGATTCGAACCCTCGACCACAAGATCGGTAGTCAGTACCCAAACACCATTAGGATATTGGCGCTTAAAATGGTAACAAATAATGTCAATATATACTCCACTTACCACATAGATTGTTCGTGACACAAAATCCATCAGAATTCTTATAGAATCCTTTGTCGCAAGCACATTGATAATTACAAGGTGCAGATTTATTGACGAGGCAATGGTAAGTTGCATTGCGATTGTCGCAAGTCGGTAATGGCGGACATGGTCTGACGCACTGTAAACTTTCGTTGGGACGAGTGCAGTTCGCAGCGTCTGTAATAGAAAGACAAGTAGTTTGAAATCAAGGCAACGTTCCTTGGTCACTCAACCAACAAAAACATGATCAGTCAAACAATATTTGTAGATACTTTTTCTAGTAGTGAAGTGTTAGAGAGTACAGGACATAAGACCTGATAATATTCAAGTACTGCAGACAGATCGCCGCCACTTAATAACTTGATAAATTAATTAAAGCCTTTGTTACTCACTGATAAATTTCTGTTCTAATGGTGAAAGAATTTTTCAAATCGGCCCAGTGGTTTTTGAGTTATTTCAATACATATAAAAATACAAATCTTTCCTCTTTATAATAGTATAGATAGATAGATGAAAAGGATTAGAAAGATGATACATCAAGTACAAATTACAATTTATTTCAGTTGACTTACTCTTAATGTTTGGGCATTTCTCATAAGGTACACAGCGATCTCCGTCCCTCCAATAGTTCTCCTTGCATCTACAAGATGGGCGACACTGCAATGGTATTCCGATCCGGCCAATAAAATGACATGTACCGTCTGGTGTGGCTCTAGTACAGTTATCACTGGGGCATACTGGACACGCTTCGAACTGTTCATTGGGTCCAGGACATTTGAACGAAGCTGTGTAAAGCAAAACAAATCCTATCAGAGACAGCTAAATCATACGGGACTCTGGAACTTAAATGTTGCAAATATAAGGCTTATTTAAGTTAGATCTACTTTAAGACTTAGGACCTGACGACTAGCAACATACAACAGAAGTCTACACGTCTATGTTATTTATCTTTTTTATGCAATACTTACGACATTCTCTAGTCGGCACACAAGTTCTGTTCTGCAGGCGCCTGTAGTTATTCCTGCAGGTGCATTTAGCCGGTGGACAGACATCTTGCGAGGCAGTCAGACATGCGCGGGCCTCCTTGTCGCATGTGGGACAGTACTCACACTTCACAGAAGGACAATTATTGAAAATCTCATTGTCACCGCAAGTCACATTCTCTGAAATTTAATAGTATCATCACTACCGTAGATATTCTCATCATCAGTTCGCAATAATCAACGTATCGATTCCCCCCTCCCCTAAATGTCTTTACCGTTAATGCTATAAAAATTGGCCATTAAAATAGCTACAAATACGAGTAAAAAAGTAATATAATGGTCACTACACGATTAAATAATTATCCATTTGTTTTTAATTTAATCACGACAAAAAATGTATGTACAATGCTAGTCTTTTGTTTTTTATATATCTAACCTTTTCTTCCAGATGTTGTGTTTTCTAAACCATTAGGGGACACATTGTCTGTTGTAACTTCCTTCGGCTTACCGGCTTCTACTTCTGTTGAAGCTTGTTCGGGTGCACAATGGCTTGTTTCTTCTTCATAAGTTTCGTTAGTATACACGAAGCTGTACACTGCATCGGAAACATCTTCGCTTCGGACGACTGCATAGTTCTGATATTCTGAAATGTGATATAGCTCAGTTTACTGGAGAAATTGTACAGTAAGAATTGTTAGAGAAATGTAGGAAGAAAAGTAACGAAATATTTTTTTTTAAATAGATAACTACTGAAATGGCGAAAGCTTAGTATGACGTAGATAAAACATAGATAACAAAGTCTCATAGTATTGCAGTCTCATAGTATTATGTATTGCAGATAAAATTGAAACATTTTTTTAAAAAGATGTGCGTGTTTTGTTGAGATATATAATATTTACACAGCTGCTTATATCTGCTTTCGGCTGAAGTTTATAAACATAAATAGCTTAACTAATTTAAGTCATTACAGCTGGGGAAATGTTTGTTTTGACAAACAGGGGTCCTTTGAATTTTTTAAAGCATGAATTTAAAAAAAACTCATGATACGAAAATATGGTAATTATCTGAAAGTAATGTATATGTAAATATACAAAGATTTAATTTATATCGTCGAATTATCTCTTCATAGTAGGATGGTCCATAAAATATACTTATAGCGCAAATTACAACAAGAAACCTTAATTTTAAAGTAATCTAAAAGAATAGTTTTCCTTATGGGTTGAAAAATATCAGAGGCTATCATGAAGTGGCTTCCTTTAAAGCAGTCAAACTGGTATATTTTTAAAAACCCATTGCTTTACTCAATGACTAAATTCTAATTGTGTTTCTGTTATGCAAACAATGCATGTAAAGCCTTTTTTCCCAGTTTTCGAGAATGAGAAAGATTACTACAATCTATTTGTAAACGTAAGGTAGTGGGGAATACAAAAATAAACACAAATTTGAATGAATGGACATTACATAAAGTATAAAATAATTTATTTTAATAACGACGTCTAACACCGTTTATTGCTGTGCATATCTTTCAACATTTTTGTTCTTTTCAGTCATAACAAATCTGTATGTACGAGATAAAAAAGTTAAAACATCTTCTTCTTTTTAATAATGCAACTTATGTTAAAGATAATTTAAATGGAAATTAATTGTCAATTAAATTGATGAACAAAAAAACCCGGCACAAGTCTATTGTTAATATTATGATAAAATAAATTTATTCACCTGCGCCCGTTCCGAGGAATATGTAACTGATGATAAGTAATAAAAACTTAACCATAGCGATATGACGAACACCGTCTGCCGCCGATTAAACTTGCTCGTGGAGTTTTATAGCGATTTATTAATACCTATACGTAAAAACGTGTACACTGGATACGTAGAACACATGAATAAATATTATCTTACAATTTTCTTATATTAATTTTATTTTTGCGTAGTTAAATTTTTTTGGTTTTATCATGACGAATTCAAATGAACAAAATTGTAACAAAGCATTTATTTATCACATTTTACATACTGATTCGGTGTGGTAATGAAATTTATTTATAACAAGCTGTTGCTCTGGACTTTGTCAACGTTTTCTGAAATTTTGGAAATACTGTTGGTAATGAAATTTATCCACAGCCCATTGACATCCGCAATGCCCAGGGAACCGCAGATGCCTTGCCAGCTTTAAAAGGAAAAGTGAGGACTTTTCTTAAAGATCCCTAAGTTGTAACTGCTTAGAAATACCGCTGTTGACTGAATATTCCACAAAAGCTGGAATGGCAATAGGTTACTAAAAAAAATTTCTCACTGGTGAATGCTTCTGATATACTCTCTTAAATTGCATAAAAATATTTAGGTGCAAAATACGCCTGCGTTTAATTACATTAAAATGGTGTATCAAATAAAGATTTGTCAAGTATAAGGATGTACCAAGCATTAAAAATTTAGGTTGAATTTCGTGAAATGTTTATTAAATCAGCGAATTAAAAGTACAATAATTTTAATTTCTCCAACGACGTTCTTTATAACATGAACATCGTAATAAAATTGGCTTAGTTGTAGTAGTTGCAACGCTGGATGTTTCTGAATTTGTAGTGTAAGTTTCTGTCCCCTCAGAAGGTTCAGTCGTAGGGTCTTCTGTTGCCTCGGAAGCTCCAGTAGTAGATGCTTCTGTGACTTCGGAAGCTTCAGTCGTTGGTGTCTCTGTAGCCTCAGAAGCTTCAGTCGTAGGTTCTGATGTTGCCTCAGAAGATTCAGTCGTAGGTGCTTCTGTTGCCTCAGAAAGTTCGGTCGTTGGTTCTTCTGTTGCCTCAGAAGCTGCAGTCGTTGGTGCATTTGTTGCCTCGGAAGCTCCAGAAGTGGGTGCTTCTGTTGCTTCGGAAGCTCCAGTAGTAGGTGCTTCTGTTGCCTCAGTACCTTCAGATGTAGGTGCATCTGTTGCCTCAGAAGCTTCAGTCGTTGGTGCTTCTGTTGCCTCGGAAGCCTCGGTACCTTCAGTTGTAGGTGCTTCAGTTGCCTCAGAAGCTTCAGTCGTAGGTGCTTCAGTTGCTTCGGAAGCTCCAGTCGTAGGTGCTTCTGATGCTTCGGAAGCTCCTGTAGTAGGTGCTTCTGTCGCTTCGGAAGCCTCAGTACCTTCAGATGTAGGTGCATCTGTTGCCTCAGAAGCTTCAGTCGTTGGTGCTTCTGTTGCCTCGGAAGCCTCAGTACCTTCAGTTGTAGGTGCTTCTGTTTCTTCAGAAGCTTCAGTCGTATGTGCATCTGTTGCCTCAGAAGCCTCAGAAGCTTCAGTCGTAGGTGCTTCTGTTGCCTCAGAAGCCTCTGAAGCTTCAGTCGTAGGTGCTTCTGTTTCTTCGGAAGCTCCAGTCGTAGGTGCTTCTGTTGCTTCGGAAGCCTCAGTCGTAGGTGTATCTGTTGCCTCAGAAGCTTCAGTCGTTGGTGCTTCTGTTGCTTCGGAAGCTCCAGTCGTTGGTGCTTCTGTTGCCTCAGAAGCCTCAGTACCTTCAGTTGTAGGTTCCTCTGTTTCCTCAGAAGCTTTAGTCGTTGGAGCGTCTGTTACCCCAGAATCCTCAGTACCTTCAGTCGTAGGAGCTTCTGTTGCCTCCGAGCCATCAGTAGCTTCAGTTGTGGGAGCTTCTGTTGCCTCGGAACCTTCAGTAGTCTCAGTCGTAGGTGTTACTGTTGCTTCGGAAGCTCCATTAGCTTCAGTTGTAGGTGCTTCCGTTGCATCGGGCCCTTCAGTCGTAGGTGCTTCTGTTGCCTCAGAAGCTGCAGTAGTTTCAGTTGTAGGTGCTACTGTTGCCTCAGAAGCTCCAGTAGTTCCAGTTGTAGGTGCTTCCGTTGCATCGGAACCTTCAGTCGTTGTTGGTGCCTCGGTTGCCGTCGAACCTTCAGAAGCCGTAGAAGCTGCAGTACCTTCAGTGGTAGGACTACTAGTATCAGCGATTTCAGGCGTATTGCTTGTAGGTGTTATAGACGTCCAAGGGGTATTTGGTAGTTCAGTTGTTGATGGTACAGTGATTCCAGATGTTTCCGAATTAGTTATAGTAGTAAGTGTAGACGAAGATGGTTTATGTACAGAAGCGATTATTCCACCACTAATAACGCTGCCTATGTTTGTTAGCTTATCTTTTAAGCTTGAAATCTTAGCTCCTATAATTCCGAGTGGTCCCCGACTACCTTCTCTTCCTATAGACAAACCAGCAGATCCACTTATGGTCAGGACGCCGGCATATGCTGAAAAGCAAATACATAATGTATAATTTTCATTGTTTTTTTTTACTTATAATGTTAATACATTGACATTACTCAGTTTAGTGCTTGTACAACATAAAATCAAAAAGTAAGCTTGATGATATATAAAGTTGTAAGTATAATAATTTTGAAATACATTTCTTACCGGTATTCAATAAACACGATATTGATATTATTAGTACTATCCGCTTCGACATTTTTACGTAAAAATGGTATCGTCTACATTTAACACAACTTTTATACATTATTAGCGTTATTTTATTTACGCTAATTAAGTATTATCCGGTTATAATTATTATCTTTTACACTTAGTATATGTATTTTCTAGGGTATCATAATTTATTTCATTCCTAACAATGTTAAACGGTTCTGTTTTTAGAATTAACGATAGTAAAATGTAGTCAATATTTTTATAAATTCTAATGATTAAATAAATGATTTCATTTTTTTTGTTATTTTTTTATACTTGTAGCACGAATAATCGAGGTAGGAGAAAGAGAGAGAGAGAGTCCAAGGCGTAAAATGTCCAGTGGTAATATACTTGCTTGGCGAGTTCACAAGGGCCTGTCCCACCACTGCCTGATAGAGGTTCAGATAGCTTAAAAATGACGTCACTGTCAGATAAGGTAACAAAATCCGATATTTCCATCACATATTTCACACGTTGGATTGTTATCAAACAATTTACAATTTGGTGAGACAGGCCCTAAATATCTTAATCCTGTTTCAAAGAATACTTACCTAATTTACAAACGGAAACTATACCCTTTTTTTTAATAATTAAGTATTTGAAAAAAAAATTATTAATGTAACCAGCCAACCGGTGAACATTAAGTATATCGGTTCGGAATATTGAACAAGTTTTATGACATTTATAATAAAACAAAAAAAACTAATTTGATAGTTTGAATATGATAATTATAAAATTCAATGAACTTAAACGAAAATTAAAAAGTAACCTAAAAATACTAAAGCCGCAATGTCTTACGTCCACATGCATACAATTTATTTACACACAAAACATATATTTTTTATTGATTAGGGTACATAATGGCATAATCAAATTCACACTAATATACAAAACCTATCACTAAAGAAAAACATATTAAGAAAAAACCAATAAACATGTAATTATGTACATACAGGGGACTTCAGGGAATGTAATATACATTTGATCATAAAATAATTGTGTGATCTAATACTTATTACACAAAATTCTAAAACTTTTACCGATATGTTCATTTGTAAAAAGTAGCTATTTTTACTACTCATCTATTTAGTTTGTTGCTTATTAGCATAACAATAGTTTTAATTAATTATACAGATGTTATCATGTACTTTTACAAATAGTTCTAATAAAAAAACATGTAAACCTCATTTTCTTCAATTAAGATTTTAAAATAATTAAACAATAAAAGTCACAGAATAGGTAAAATGTTTTTTTTTTTATTTACATTATTTTACATTTATATACTTGTCATATTTTATAAATCCACTTAAACAATATTTATATGATAATACTTTTTATCATCTTCAGTAATAATATTTGGTGCACCGGACAAAGGGTCTTTGCCTTCATGAGACTTGGGAAATGCTATGACATCTCTAATTGAGTCTGCATCACATGCTATTGTCACCAAACGATCAATTCCCAACGCAATCCCAGCATGAGGGGGACAACCACTCCGTAATGCATTCATAAAATGCATTAATTTACTCGCATCAATATTAAGCATTTGTAAAATCTTTTCTTGAAGATCAGCATTGTGTACTCTCACTGATCCTCCACCAATTTCATTACCATTCATAACAATATCATAAGCAAGTCCCCTAACTTTTAAAGGCTCAGTCTCCAACAAGTGTAAGTCTTCAGGATGAGGAGCAGTGAAAGGATGGTGACAAGTTTCCAAGCCATTATCACCTTCAATAAACAAAGGAAAATCAACAATCCAGAATGGCTGTGGGCTCTTATTAATTAATATTAATTCTTTAGATTGTAATAATACTGCTAATTGTTGTCTAATTTCTCCTAAGCAAGTACAGACTTTCTCTTTGTCACCCAATGCTAGAATAAAAGATTTATTCTCTCCTACAATATTCTTGATATCACATTTTACATCATTAGACACTTCTTTACTAATATTTTCATTTAATATAACTCTTACATTATTCTTCTGTTTTAATTCATTAATTTTATCCTTGTATTTTGCAGATAATTTACCAATTTCTTCAGGATATGGTAAAACAAAAGCACTAAGTATCTTTTCATTGTTATTGAACAAATGTGACACATTTTTTAATCTTAAATCATAACTTATGTCCGGTTTATCTGTGCCATAGTTTTCTATAGCTTCTGTATATGTAATTCTATTGAACGGTGGTATCGGTAATTTTTTTGGAAACGTCGTATAGAGTAACTGCTCAATCAATGTAATGATATTATCTAAATTTGCAAAAGACATTTCTATATCAAGCTGTGTGAACTCAGGTTGTCTGTCAGGCCTTGTTGTTTCGTCTCTATAACATCTGGCAACCTGAAAATATCTATCAACCCCACCGGCCATTAACATTTGTTTAAACTGCTGTGGACTTTGAACTAAAGAATAAAATAACCCAGGATAATGGGTGGGAACAACAAATTCTCTAGCGCCACCAGGAGTTCTGCAGAACAGTGTTGGTGTTTCAACTTCCACAAACCCATTTGTCTCAATTAGAAACTTTCTCATATTATGTAGTATTGAAGACCTTGTTCTTAAATTCTTCTGCATGTCAGGGAATCTTATATCTAAGTAGCGATGCTGCATTCTTAGTTGCTCCTTAGGTTTTTGATGGTCTCTTAAATTAAATGGTACTTTGTCAGCTGTATTTAGTATTTCTAACTTGTCTATGAGGATCTCTATTTGACCAGTACTCATTTTATTGTTTATCATATCAGTTGGTCTTAAGGAAACAGTACCATTTACTTTAACTACAGACTCTAGAGGAATATCCTTGAAATTAATTTGATCATTGTTTACTATACACTGTGTTACCCCATAGGAGTCACGTAGTAGGAGAAATTTAGACATTCGTTGGTATTGCACCCAACCACAAAGTGTAACACTTTCCCCATTATGCACGGGTCGTAGTTCACCGCAAGTGTGACTTCTATATGTAAAGGAATTTAAATCTTGTAATTTTTCAATTTCTCTTTCTATTTCAGATTTACTTTTCTGAGCAACAAGTGTATGTTTTAATTTATAGGTTAACAATCGACCGTAATTCAATCTTTGTATTTTTTTCATTCCATTAACAAAATCAATGGCCTTTATCAGATTGCGCCGCAGCATTTTGAATTAAAAAAATACTTAATCCTTTGTTTAATCTGTATCACTAATAGTCCATTTAACTTAAAATGCTTTTAAAACATATTTATATCATCTTGTGTCGTTCTTCTTCTTTGTTCTTGTATCCTCGCATAATTGTTTATTGTTTAGGCAATTAATCACTATTATTTCTACTAAACTAACTACTATTAAACTATTTGTTTTTTAAGAAAAATAAGATAACAGGACATTGACAAGTTATCAATTCGTGACACTGACAGCTAATTGCCGGTGCTTAGCTGCCAAGTTGCACTTTTATAATTTGTGTTATTTAATTATTGATGCCTTTATTTAGATCCATAGCATAACATATTTATTTTTAATAACCAAGTTTGAATTAAGGTTTTTCTTTGTGATATTTAAAAAAGTTTTATTTCATACTAACACAACTTTCTACGAAATTAAGATCAGCGCCCTCTAGTCCTTGTTACATTTAACTAATGATATAACTTTCACACAAAAAAAAAACACAGGTAATTGCAATGAAATTCGTTTATTTTCTATGAATTCCTGAAATACAACGTATATTTTTAATAGACTTTAATTAAAATCTGAGGAATTTGCCAATTCTGGGCAATGTTTTATAGGCATACATGGAGAATTCACGTCTCTTCTTAAATAACCGTCCATGCAAGCACACCTGGAGCGACCTTGTTCTCTTGAGTCGCATTTAAATTTAGCAACCAACGTAAAACATGTTTCAGGAGGACAGCTTTTTACATTGCTTCTATAAACTTCATTTTGACTACAAACATACTCTGTAATACATAATGAAGGTTAAAACACATATGAATTCAAAAAGTTCTGGTTTACGCAAAATAGTAAATTTCGACTTTTCATTTTGTCTATTAGATTAATTAATTTTCATCATTCATCGAACACAACAAAAGAATATTGTAAGTGTATTTGTAAACTGAATGTTGGTTATTTAGACTATATTTGCACACACTGTACTGCTATCTCTAATGAAGATTCCGAAAATGTGTATGCACAGATTACAGTTAGATTTACAGGGCTAATAGAATTTAATGCAAATAGACTTACCTTCAGTTTTATAAGCTGCAACATTTTGGAAAACAAATAAAATAAAGAATACTACAGGACACCACATATTGACAGGTTCGAAATCCGCACCACACCAGTTTGAGTTTGTTTATCCGAAGAGATCAAATTTATATGCCATATACCGTTTAGTACATTTTACAAGCGAGAGCGTGTATTAACCAATAATATCGGATAAGCGAATAGAAGACAGGACAGGTGACTGGTTAGCCATAATACAAACTTAACCGCACAAAGATTTAGTAGATTGAAAAAAAAATACATTTTAGATAAATTATTGTCATCGCTAAATTCTCTCTGTTAGAGGCCATAAAGTTGTACTCTGCAAGACCGGAGTCTATACTTTAAATCCATCACGCGAGTTGTCTTTTAGCATACGTAATGTGCGGGGAATCCCTATTCTCACGGGAAACGAATATACGTTAAATAAAACATTCTTGTTGTGTATTATCTAAAAAAAAAACCAACAGTTTTTTTAACATTTATTATAATTAATTAACAGGTCACAGAAGTTAACGAACAGTAGAAATTACAACTAATAATTAAAACGCAGTACTTCTCTCTGAATATACATAGTATAAACACAAGGAAGTACTGCAGATGGCAGTTTTACACATGTAAATATGCCTTACTAGAGAAAATTAACCTAACTTTAACATCTTCAATGTAACCTTATTTGAAAACAGTAACTGTCAAAACTAATTTTACAAGTTTAAATTGAATAAAATAGTCAACGCTGAAGTCATTAAACAATTATTAGAAATAAAAAAAGTTTCTTTCCGTACTATTCGAAACAACACAAACCAATTGCAACAAATTATTAAATTATCTAATACAATAACAGAATTGTACTAAGGTAATCTAAAATTTGTCAAGTTAAGATTCACATTAGCTTAAATCAGTCAGAACAAATAGAAAAAATAATTGAATGCAATACAGCATTGCATTTAATTATTTTGTCAAATGGCACATTTAGTTTTAAATTTAAGATAATGAATTACAAAATATTAGATGTCCAGACCGGTGGAAGAGAAACAGACATTGCCTGTGTGTGGTACATGGGGTGGTTAAAGTCATATCTATATCCCACATAATTTGGAATGGGGGATAACACTGAAGTGTATGTGGGCTGGATCGCAGGTGGTGTAGATTGACAAGTCACTTCTGCATGAAAGTTCTGCAACAAGTAAAAACATTTTAGTCCATGGAACTTTCTTATTACAATCTTTTCTTCAAAGAGGCAATATTTGTGTAAAATAAAAATAACTCAAATTATGTAGATGTTGAATTTTTTAAAACCAGTTACCTTTTACCATAGCAAAGTAAATCTAACCTTAATAGTCTCTAGTGCTAACTCCGCCGCTTTAACATATGCTTGTTGGAAAGAGTAGCAAGGCCTGGTCACCAATGGTCCAATTTTCCTTGGCACAATTGTTAACGGCTGGCAGACTTCAGGCAGCTCCACACAGGACACCCAAACTTCAGCACCAACAGCATCAATGTACTTCTGGTATGTATATACTGGTGGCATCCACATGTACCTGAAAGTAAAAAAAAAAAAAACTTAACCATCATCAAATCTTAGCTCTTACTTTATCAAACAAAGTAATACAGGACTACTATAGGTAGAATATTTGAACAGAAATTTAAAAGTATATAAAGAAATAAATTTGGATTACCTTTTGCACAAGGCATCAAGCTTAGCTGGAGCCAATGGGTAAGAGTCTTGAGGTGGTACATATTGGCAGCCACCCATGGGAGAGCAGCAGGACTCCCCCGCACAAGCAGAGCCAATGCCTTCATCTTCTTTGTGTGTATCCTCATATGCCCGCTTCTCCACATGCTGTTTATAGAGCATAAGTGTTTGTGTAAGCCCAAGACTGTTGTTAAACTTAGCATTGCCTTTAGTTTGCTTTTGTACCCTATACAAATCCCTATCTACAGGTTTAGCCCATTTAATCTCAATATGGCTACCATCAATTTCCGTATTTTGCAATTTAGTCAAAGCAAGCTCAGCATGAGACCTTTGATAGAAATGAATAAAAGCATAGTCATATATCTTTTTTACTCTTTCGATTTTTTGATCGATAGCAGTCTCAAACACAGTCTGTATAGTCTCTGGCGTTGTACGAATTTGAAAATTGCGGGCGTACAGGACTTTTACCTGCAAGTAAAATGTACTCGTTGTACTAACAGATAAAAAACTAACTAACATTTACGACAAACCTAAACAATATCAAGTGTTATTTGATAAACAAAGACTAGCGGGGCATTTGTTTATTTTATATCGCGACAGAATTTAACAAATGAACTTTACTAGCACGGTAAAAAGTCGGAAAAAATTAAAACTTACCGATTTCATTACTTCTTCGTTTACAGAAGGCTCCGGTTCCGCCCAGTCAACCAGCACATCATGATCCCAGAGTTTTACACATCCCGGTATGAGAGATCGCCTTGCCATAGCTGCCGCTCTGTGAGACTCGAACTCCGCAAAGGCAAAACCTCTGTTGAGGCGTTTATCAAAACAGTTCTTGTATAAGATCACGTCCACGAGCCCGGGCACTCGCTTAGCAAGTTCTTCAAATACTTCCGCTTTCGTTTTTGTCTTCGGAATACCGCCTATGTAAAGGCGACAATTATCTACAGACTTAACAACCCCGATTTTCCGCTGGGGTCGGATTTCAAATCCATCCAGTTTCTTGACTGCTTGATCGGCATCCTGTTTCCTCATGTAATTCACGAACGCGTACCCTCTGTTAGAACCGGAGAAATCCATCATTAGTCGCATCTCGTATATTTTGCCAATTTGGGAGAATATCGGGACGAGCTCATCCTCGTAGATCTCTCTAGGCAGCTTCCCAATGAAGACTTCGCAGCCTCTCGGTGGCACAAACCCTTTACAGTCTGGCGGTGGTCCGAACTTCCTCTGGCCGTTCCTCTGCTCGATGGGATATCCAGTCGCCCGCATAAGTTCCAGCAATTTAGAGGTCAGAGCCGACGATCCTTGTCCTTGTTCCACCATATTTGAAAATCAACAGGATTCGTACGAGCAGCAAATCAACGTATTCACAATCGACGAAAGAGCGGCGTTACAAAGTGTCGGCTTCTTTTATACTTTTGCCGACAAACATTCGTAGGGCTGTGACGTCACATTTGTATTTGGTAAAATACGAAACATTCAGTACCTTTTTAAAAAATATATGTAATATTAAATCATGAACCTTCAGTTTATCAAATGTAATAAAGAAAACTCGCTTCTTTATGAATTATTGTCCATTTTTTGAAACTGGTGCTTAAGTTAAAATAATTTCAATACTTCAGTTTACTTTTATATTCTCTTTTTGAAAATAGTCAGAACGTTACTTTCTATAAGTGTTTAAATGCAAGAATTTTAATGTTTCGCAACAGATAATAAGTATATTGTTCAATTTATGAATTATATATAAGATAGGTGTAGTAATATTTAATATTAAATAAAAGAACACGACACAGCATTGTATTTTTAAAAAGTCGTTACGCACTTTTTTGTATTCAAATTAATCTTAAAACAAATGAAAAGCGTTAGAATATTTTTCGCATGAGTGGGAAATTAAGTTCTGAACTTAAATTATTTTTAAGTAGATTACTTGAGTAAAGCAATGTTATTAAGTTTGAATTCAATAGTTTGGTATTTTATAATGTTTAAAATGGCTTAAGTAGTCTAATTATTCTTGGATAAATTTTTAAAATCATCGCTTTAGTAAATGTGATTTAATACATAGTTTTGTTACATTTAAATTCTTTGCGCGATAAACATACTTGAAATAATAATGTTGATGAATGTTGATGTTTCTTTTAAGCTTTTAGTTAATCTAAATTAGAATTATTTTATTTAATTATTGCGTTTAATGATAAACAAAAGAATGTGTTTTTCTTGTTTAATTTTTGAAAAGTAGTTGTAACAAAGTTCTATGTCTCATTTTACACTTCTCGATCATAGATGGCACTGTTAATCTTGAAGTTTTTTGTGCATTTTTCATAGCCAAAAGAATGCTTTTATTTATATTTTAAACTGTAAATAGCTGCAAGTTATTGTAAAATATGGATGAACGTTATAAAAGTCTGTAAATCTGACTTTTAATAAAGCGATTTAATTGCTTGTAATACTTTTCCTATCGCAGAAAAAGGGAATTTAATGGCTCTACATTGTGTTGTTTCGGCCTCTGTTATAAGAAATAATTCGCTTGCTATTTATTGATTCATCTGCTCTTTAAACTTTTGTTGTTGGACCTTATTATTTAATATATTGTACAGGCAATAGATGGCGCTAATTTAAATTAGGCATACCCCTCAGCTTTTGTTTTATTATTTTTTTTCTCATTTTCTTTTACCATTTTATTGTATGACTATGTGTAAAAAATGAAATCACCAGTCGTTTAATTTAATATTTATTACACTTATAATACAAATACTTTATGAACAAATCACATTGAACGCAACGCAACTTACAAATAAATATCACATCAAATAAATCCGATAGCTATGATCTGTTTTTGAGATTACATAATTACAATTTGAGCGTAAAACTTTTTGTTCCGCCTTTTTATGGCGACATAACCATAGTCTAGTCAGCCATAGTATAAGTACTTAGAACTTCCGTGGGACCTAAGATCGGCGTTCGCTAAGAAAATAAGCTTTGAGATTAAATCTATACAATTCAAAGCGTGCATTTTTTTAATCAGTGAAAATCTCTGTAATAATAATATCTTAGAATAGCTATGAAAACAATGCTTATTTAAACATAATTTTACCGTTCCAGCGGCAATACTACAATTTCAATACAAGTGTAATTTTTTTAATAAAAATGCTCGCACGATTGAAAAAAAGATAAAACCATAAAGGTACTTTTCATTAGTCTGTCGGGTCAGTTCTTAGTCTATGGTCATTTTAACAGTGGTAGAGTCCGGTTTAACATCTTAGCACGAATGGGTCGGCTCGCCCGGTGTTATACCACGACCACACAGAAGACAGGCGTGAAGTGGAAGCAATTCCGCGTAGAGTCTGATAAGTGTGGTGCCGGATGCCCAATTTTAGTCCCTTTCCCGTTCCACACTTTTCTTATAAGGAAAGGATTGGATGGGAAAGTGGATTTGGCGGCGGAGGAGACGCATAGGAAGGGGAAACATCCTCTTTATGTGCGTGTCCTCCTCCGTCGATTTAGGGTAGGCAACGCATCTGCAATTGCGATGTTTATGGGCAATAGTAGCTTCGCCATTTCGGCGGATTTAGGTGGCCGCTTACTCGTTTGCCACCTTCTTGTATAAAAAAAATGTTTTCTACATATCTATGGTCTAATATATAATCTGTGGTGTTCACATTTCCGTGTGGTCCATAGCCTTGTTGTCTACGCCCCGTACTGTGGTGACGGAGGCGCCATCTGTGCTGAAGCTAACATCCTCACATTCAACGACCCATGGCTGACGTTCCGCGGAACATAACCAGCCGTAGATTATCGCCCCTGCTAGGTAAATACCGCTAGATATAAAGAACACTATCCGCCATTGTTCCGCTGTCTGGAATAAAAATACTAATTATTGTATAGCTTTCGACTGCGACTCCGTCCGTGTAGAATCATAAAAAGTAATTAGCCTAGTGTTTTTCCAGATTATACTCTACATCTAAGCCAAATTTTAACCAGATCCGTTTGGCAGTCAAGGCTTCAAACTCTAACAAACATCCTTCCATCCATCTAAATTTTCCCATTTATTATATACACTAGCTAATAATCTTAGGGTAAAAGGCTAACGATCAATAATAACTTTAATATTCCAAAAAGAATGCTGAACATATGCTTCAATCTTACTAATATTATATATGCAAATGTTAAGGATGGATGTCTGTTAGACTTTGTTGTCGTTTAATTGAACGGATATCTATTAAAGGCACATAATAGAGGACAGTCTGGAAAAACACATATGATTCTCTTTTTTTATATCACGCAGACAGAGTCGCGGGCGAAAGCAAGATTTTTAATAAAAAACCGGCGAGTCGATTTTAAATATTTTGAATTAATTTATATATTTATTTTACGACTACCTATCGCCCGCGACTCTATTTTCGTAAAAAAATAAGCTTACTAACTCTAGCAAACATCCATCCATACATTTAAACTTTGGCACTTATGATATTAGTAAGATTTTCGACTGTCTAAGGGGGGTTAGGAAGGGGGGGAGGTGCCTCCACCCCTGTAAAGGTACCTTGTGAGTGACGACGGCGCCGGCGAGCGGCGGGCTGATGATGCCGGGCAACGTGGCCACCGTGTTAGACAGTCCCATCAGCACGCTGGCGTGCGGCGGCGCTATGTCCAAGTGATTCACACTGAACACACAAATACAAAGAATTCATTAACTGAAACCTGTTTTTTAATAATTATTTACAAGCTCACTACTAGTCCCGACTGAAGGGCTCGGAGCCTACCCTAAGTTAGGGTGACTAGGCCATAGTCAAGAACGCTGGCCTAGTGCGGGTTGGTTGACCCCACACATATCTTTGAATTCTATGCAGATATGTCTAGGCATCACGATGTTTTCCTTCATCGTAAGAACGTCGGGTAAATTATGTACATATGAAAATTCGAAAAATCGAATATCACATTGGTATATGGCAGGATTCGAACCCAAGATTTGTAAATTGCAAGTCAAGTGCTTTAACCATTGATCCACCGATGCTCTCTAGGTATACTTAATCATATAATTGTTTTAAGAACTTGTTTTTATTTGCCAAATTAAGGGTTAATTTGGAAACAAGGCTAACTCATGTTACATTCGATATAGCATGACTAGCATTAACACGCGATTTTGTCCGCGCGGAATTAAAATAAATAAATTTCACATTTATAATATCAATATAATGAAAGATTAAATATGTTAACAAGAATTAGAGTTTAATTGTTTTTTAGATTCTTATAAGGTGACAAATAATTAAGCGTTCTGATGAAAATGTTAATTGTAATTTCTTCAACAATAAACTTTATAGTCAAATAGTTTGTGTAATGTACAAAATAATGTTTGACATAAGATTTTATGTTTATAAATTATTACCTGAAACCGGACCAAGCGAAACCTCCCAGTCCAACTGCAATAGTGAGGAATACCACACAGGCTACAACGTTACTGGAATACGCTGCTGCCACCATGAAGATTGTCTGTAATTATAAATAATTAATTAATAATAGTATAATCCACCTGCCCTTGCCCCTAGGGGGTAAGCACAGTAAGCAATTTAACTCACAAAAGAAACAGTAAAGAATTCACACTATTTTAGTTGTTTTCACAGAGCACTCTAAAGCTATTTGGGAAATAACATTATTTGGAATTTTTTAATTACTATTAATATTGCCGGAGGGCGTAGGGTTTAAGCATTGCGCCCTGGGCGAGATTTTTATGACGTCACTAACTGTAATTCAAATCTATACACAAAAACTAAGTGGACGCCCGGGCGCCCTGGACGATCGCCCCTTTAGCTTAACGCCCTGGGCGGCCCTACTTTGATGTACTGCCCGGGAAACTAATACCCAGTATAAATAGACCCCCACCTGAGATAAGAATGCGCCGCAGTTGAAGATCTTGCGTATATTGGTGCGTGAGAATGTCCCGCGGCGCAGCAGGCAGTCAGCGAGGTGTCCGGCCACCTGCAGCGTCAGCGCCATGGCCAGGTACGGCAGCGCAGACACCCAGCCTGCTGACGACGTCTCGAACTTGAATACGTCTGGAATACAAATAAAAGGCGTTTTGTTAAAATTAAATACTGTCTCAAAATTAAAAAAAAATTATACGCGTATTGTATTTTTTATAATAATAGTGCAAAGAGACATTCTACCTTATAAGTTACACAATTTTAGTTTGTTGTTTACACTAACTTTTACCGGTGACTCCGACCGCGAATTTAAAAAAAGTGAGTAGCCTATGTGTTTCTCCAGACTATCCTCTACGTCTACGCCAATTTCACCGAGATCCGTTCAGACAAATATTTGTATCTAGTTTGCTCTAACAAACATCCATCCATTTCAACTTTTGCATTTATAATATTAGCAAGAAATGCAGTTTACACAGGTCAGATATTAACAATGATTAAATAAATGTTGTTCACCTTTCATAAAAGTGGGTAGAAAGGTAAGCAGCGTGTAGAAGCCCCAGTTCTCACTGAAGTGCGCGACGACGATGGCCCACACCGGGGGGGAGGTGAGCATGGCGCACCAGGGGTGGCGCAGCTGTGCACCCTCCAACGTCTGCGCACCTCTCGACTCCTAGATATATGTAGATATAATAACTTTAAAACTCAATATCATCACCAGCTCACTATACGTTCAAACCGAGGGGCTCGGAGCCAACCCTAAAGTTAGCGTGACTAGGCTACAGTCAACCCCACTGCACTGCGGGTTGGTTGACTTCACACATATCTTTGAATTTCTTCGCCGATATGTGCAGGCATCACGATGTTTTGCTTCACCGTAAGAACGTCGGATAAATTATGTAGATATGAAAATTCGAAAAATCGAAATACATTGGTACTGGGGGATTCGAACCCAAGACCTGTATATTACATGTCAAGTGCTTAAACCACTGAGCCAACGACGCTCTTTGTTTAAAACTCAATAAAAGCAAAGAAACTGCTGACCATAGACAAAAGCTGTGTCGACCTTTACTCGACAGAGATACATTTAGAAAGAGATATTTTCTTCTGTGTCCCCACCGCCGTCTAATCCTCTACCTTCATCTCTTTTACAAGAAAAAGTGGAAGGGAGAGTGGTCCAAAGGCTCTGGCACACTTAGATTTTACGTCAAATTGCTATCATTTGTCGCGTGTCTTCAATGAGATGGCATGTTTTTTTTTATTTATTAGCAACACTATAGAATATTAGTATTAGGGAACTTAAGGAGTAAAAGTTTAGCATGGTATGGGCATGTTATGAGGAGGGATGAATCGCATGTTACAAGGAGAACGTTAGTTATTAGTGTGGAAGGGTACATCGGTAGAGGTAGACCTAGAAAGAGATGGATGGATTTCGTCAAAGGTGACATGATGAAGAAGGGAGTGACTGAGATGACGTATGATAGAGTTATGTGGAGGACAAAAACCTGTTGCGCCGACCTTCGGGAGTTGGATAAGGAGAAAGATGATACAGATATATAATGAGATATATTATTGTTCATATACAATATTTACAAAATGAATGAATGAATGAAATTCGTACAACAATTATTGCTGTTGTTGTTAAAATAATATTGTCATTTTTAAATAACATAGTCAATAATTTTACAAGATGTTCTCAAAAATCAGTTACATGTTTAACTTTCCATATACAAGACGATGGTCTAACATCAACTTTGAAGTCTGTTTCTTCCATAATTACCTGTATATATTTAAGTTCTGCGGCGGTTATGTGCGGGTCCTTTTCCGGGGACTCCTTCACGACCAGCCACCAGATCGTCGTCCATACTAGACCTAGGATACCTGAAATTAAGCAAATCAACATATTTGTACTTTACTCCCGTAATCACTCATATAATGATTGCTTTAATACTTATTTTTCAATTTATTTAACTTTATACACATAAAAAAACCTTTTTTTTTTAACAAACATAAATTGAAAGGCTTTAGTACAGGTGAGTTTAATTCTATAATAGTTATATGTTATGGTTTCCACTACTAAATACACACTAAGGGATATTCTTAGTGAGGTATAGTATAGTCTTTCCGTCTTTCTTTGCTTTGTATTCGTAGACATAATAACACCTATTTTCTTGTTATTTTAGTTTATGATCTTTGAACGATATGCTTTGCTAATGGTAGTCATTACATGGGTCATTCGTTTGCGTTAAAGAAATCTTATTACCGCATTACTCATTTTGAAGATGTTATCATTAAGAGATAACTGAATCTTTATAAACAATGATAACTCTTTGTTTGTTAAACAGTAATTAAACTACACTCAACATACATTACACTTATTTGTTTTCTTCGACCGATATTTAGGGTAACTTTGAATGTTAAATTCTTGTTATTCACGTGTTAAATCTTACTAAATATATCTCATTTGTTACACATGTATGAAAACTTGCAAATGTGGTTATGATACATCCTGTATATGGTGTAGGATGACAAATACACATTGGGATTAAAAGACACGTGCTTAGGACAGAGTACCGGAACACCTTTTCCATACTTTATTATGTTTAATATTAGCGGGCGCTGAGTACATCTCTGTCGTTAGGTGTCAACGTTAGGCAGGGCGTAGGTAACCGCCCAGGGCGCCTGACAGAAAGGGGCGTCAAAAATGTTAATTACTCTCATATAACACTCCTAATTGAGGGACCAATTTTATCATGTACCATCACCTCTTATTTATCATGTAAATAGGGACATTTACATGATAAAAAAGAGGCGTTTAAGAAATCTCACGTAGCTCACTAGTAGATCTAGATCCGCCACTGATTATATATGTAACAGCCTGTATATCTCACCAAAGACGTAGAATATCCCCGGCCAGCCGGTGTAGTGCGCGAGCAGCGAGCAGAGCGGCATGGAGACGACGGTGCCGGCGTAGCTGCCGCTGAACGCGAACGTGGCCAGCCGCGCGCGCTCCGACGCCGGCGCCCACCGCGACCACACCGCGTGGATACACGGGTACGTCACACCCTGTATACATCGAATAGTAACTTTAAAAATGACTAACTTTCGCCCACGACTATTCCCGCTTGAAATTATTAAAGAAATAGCCTATTTTACTTGTGGAAAATGTAGCTTTCAAATGGTGAGTGAATTTTAAAAACGGCCCAGTTGTTTTTAAGCCTATTCATTACAATCAAACAAGCAAAGTTTTCTTCTTTATAATATTAGTATGATTAGCTTTCGCCCACGACTCCGTTTGCGTGGAATTGAAATACAAAAGTAAGTAGCCTATGTGTTGTTCCAGATTATGCTCTACGTTTATGCCAAACCTAATCTAGGTCCTTTTAGCCGTTTAGGCGGCAAACTCTACCAAACATCCATCCATCCAAAATTTCGCATTTATATGTAAGAAGTAAGACTAAAAGGTTACAACAGCTCGGTTAGCTGCAAGATTTCACGTGGGCTTAGTACGTGAAATGAACTCTGCCCCTGTAGCTCTTCATATCTCGAGACTACGCAAAGAAAGCATGTATGTCATTACTAAATTATGATTCAAAGAAATCTAACCTCAAAAAGGCCTTCAATAACTCTAACAGTGATTAAAAGCGCAGTACTGGTGTGGGCGAGTGGCGGCGTAAACAGGGTTAGCAGAGAAGTTGCGCCTATACCGATTCCGAACACCCTGTGAACAAATTAAACATACAAGTTTTCATATAATTTCAGTAATATTCAAGACTGAAGGAAACGACATAAAACTGCGTAATAAAAAAATCACATTAGAACATTAAGGAAAATATAAAGGGATCATTGGACATTTATTTGTTAGACCGGAATATTTAATAAAATTTATTGGTGAGTTAGAGAATGGAACGAACCTGTTACCTCCTATCTTAGCTGCCAGCCAGCCGCCCGGCAGCTGCGTCACCAGGTAGCCGTAGAAGAACGAGCTCAGCACCAGACCCTTGGTTTGGGAACTCCAGTCGAACTCCGGCACCTATACAAATTATTTACTTCTTTAATATAACAGTGATAGAGTCCGCTTTAACATCTTCGCAAGAATGGGCCGGCTCGCCAGGTGTAATACCACGACCACACAGAAAACAGGCGTGAAGTCTGATGAGTGTGGCGCCCGAGGCATAATTTTAGTTCCTTTTCCTTTCCACCCTTTTCTTAAGACCAAAGGATGGAAAGGAAAAGTGGAGGAGACGCATAGGAAGGGCAAATGTCCTTTTTATGTGCGTCTCCTCCTCCGTCAATTAAGGGTAGGCAACGCATCTGTAATTGCGGATGTTTATGGGCAGCGGTCGCTTTCCATTTCGGTGGATTCAGGTAGCCGCGTGCACGTTTGCCACCTTATATTATAAAAAAAATATCCTTGTCAATGAGATTATAATTGATACTAACATTGTGGAAAAGTTGTAATACCTTACTCGTAAACGTAACTTATTTTTAAAAAAAAAATCAGCTGTTAAGTCTTTTTTCTTCTTTGTATTAAACGGGTTTTTCCACGATATTACCCTATAGTTATTAAATTCTTTTATAAGAAAGACTATGCCCTACAGGCTTTATACTTTTTATAACCTAGCCTCTTGAAGTAAGTTTTTATCCTCGCATATTATGTGCTGGCAAATGTTATTATATTTTTAAATTTAAATAAGCCGGATAAAATTTCTTATTAAAGTAAAAAAAAATATGTTAGTAGCGCTATAAAATGATTATAACAATAAGATAATCTTAAAATAGAATATGTATTTATTGTCGCAAGAAAGGAACAAAAGAAAATATAAAACGCATTTATTCTAAGGACAAAATATTATAAAAATGTGACAAAAGGTAGTCAGCTCAGCGCATGCAGGAGGGACAAAGCCGTTCCTGTGCTGGTTTTCAGTGGGCACCTTCGCACTCAAGTAACTTATACATAAATTTGATAGGGTAACCGGGCTTACTAACGACATACACAGAAACAAAAGACACGAAAATACACTTTAAAAAATAAAAAAAAAACCTATTGAATTGTTAAATGGACGATTTATAGATTAAATACTCACGTAAATAATAGTCCCGTTGTCTAACTCCGTCTCTACGGGTTCAGTCATGGCGACAACTGCGACGGAGAGGTTGACGCGCAGCGCGTAACAGTTGAAAAATCCGAAGAACGCGAGGAGAGCGACCAGTAGTCGTCTTTTCTGCCAGAAGCGCCATGATGACTGCTCTTTTGTTTTTTCTCTGAAAAATAAAACAGATCAATTCCCATTTATGTTACCGTTGTTGATTGGATTGTTCAAATAAAACTAAGCGTGTGTAGTCTTTATGCCGAAATGTTTTCTAATACAAAACAAATGTATAACTTCTACATCCATAGATCTACCCATACATGATCATCGGTTACAACTACGTGCACGTAATTATTAAAAAAAATCTATTACGTTCAAATTCGTATTTGACCCGGTTTCTCGGTCACGCTTGATGGCACCCTAATCATTCACGTAACAATCATCAGTTTGAACAAGTAACCTCGATGTACCGTTTATACAATGTTACGAAATTCGCAAAGAACGTCTAGTAACATTTTCAATGTTATTATGAACAAAAGGACAATAACTTGTTTCTTTTAAGTAAGATTGCCTCGAGAATTATATTAGAGGAAATATATCGTATTGCGCTTCTGTTTACTAAATAGAGGGTAGATTTACAACATTTTCGCTACAAATATACATGTTTTAAAACAAAATTGTCTTTATTATATTTCGCAGTTTCTATGTTTCGCTCTATTTATTGGCTTTCTAGTAGGCGCTATGGCAAGACGCTTTTCACTATCGCCACACACCCGGATTAAATTTCTTAGTGAAGTCACGCTATCGTACTAATATTATAAATGCGAAAGTTAAGATGGATGGATGTTTTTTAGAGTTTGTAGCATAAACGGAGGAATGGATTTCGATGAATTTTGATATAGATGTAGAGGACAGTCGGGAAGAACACACAGGCTAATCACTTATGTTTTTTTTTAACACCACGTGGACGGAGTAGCGGGCGAAAGCTAAGTCTATAAAAATATGATTACTTAAATAAGTTTTATATTAATCGTGCAAACTTGCAATGATGAAGTTTTAATGAAGAGATACTGATCTCTGACAAGAAAACTTCATCCTTATACGATAACATAATCCAAAGCATTTGAGTCTCGAAAATAACTCAATTCAAAATTATTCGTTAGAAAAGAAAGTTAAATAAAATGGGCTAACCTTAACGTTGTGGACAAAGAACATTTAAAAAGAGAACGAAGAACATCGAAACGGAAAATTCGGTTGTGTTAACAAATACTTCTTCTGTGAAGCTATAACTTAGCTGAGGAATTACCATACTTCCATTTTAGATTAAGACCTAGAAAGAGATTAATGGATTGCGCGAAAGGTGACATGATCAAGAAGGGAGTGATTTCTGAGATGACGAATGAGTTATTTGGAGGACGGAAACCCGGTGGACCGACCTTACGTAAGTAGGATAAGGCACAGAAGATTTTAAAATTGTCATTGCGCTTCATTAAGTTTAGCTACAAAACTAAAGTTGTAACTAACTTTGTAAGACAGCTTGTAGGAAACTGTAATAGTCCCAAAGCTGAGGAAACCGGAATCAGCTGTTAGTCACGTAACGTACCGTCTCTCTAGTGCGTCGTTAACGTAATATATAATGATCATTATGTGATAATGGTTTAACTTCTGGCACTCGCCAGTAATGGAAGATATTCTAAGAATACGCGAAATTAATGTGACTCATAACTTAGAATAATTTTAGTGGCTGTACCGTGGCAGCCACTAAAATTACTGTTAAGTTTTAGAATTACTTTGAAATTAAGATAATAAAGTTCTTAGTTATTCCTTTTTTTATATTAAAGATTGACAACGCTAATACAATTTCAGATTCTTGCAGATGTGCATAGGCAGGCGTCAGTGACTGTATCCTCGTTGGCCATTTTCTGTTCTCGAAAAGAAGTAAGCACTACGCTCAAAACTAACAAAACACAGTCAAAACAAGCCCTATAAATAACCGAAACAATGAATCGGAAAGTGTCAATCATTCGTAAACAGCCATTAGGAAAGATATCACTTCGCTGTCGCCTTCCGAGGAGGTCGTTAAGTAAATCCCCGATGGTGCAATCAATTGAACATCTATGTCACCGATTGTTTGTTAACTTAGTGTAAAATCAAACTAGCTAGTCATATTGTAATTTGTCATAGTGAATGAATCTTATAAAAATATAGTTCCTATAAGTCCTAATGGAATAACCTTTTATATTCGTAACAATCAGTTTAAATTTTAATGCAACAAAAGTTAGCAATTTTTAAGATAGACGGTCTATGTGTCAAGTCCGATAATAAGATGACCAGGTTCACAATCTGTCTGTGACATCTATAAGATGCTTGTCAATGTCGGACAAGCTAATTAGGTTGTGACCCAATTACACTTTTAAATCCTACTTCCGCCTCATCCCTTAAATCATTCAATCGGAAAATTCCATTATACAGGAGTAAGGCACGTTAATTACTGTTGAAAAAGTGTTTATTTTTTATCAATCCATTGTCCTTTGTCGACTCAATTAACGAAGTCATCTATCTTTATCCTAAGCGTCGAGAAGAAATACACCTGGATTTTTTATACGTCCATTTTCTATTTAGTGTAGTGATTTATTATTGGAACAATGTGTGTCTTTTTGTTACATTTTATACTAAGGACAATAAAACTATCTATATTCAGAATCTCATTATAAAGAGTGCTTTAATAAGAGGTTTAAAAATAGTACAGAACAGCGTTAGGGAAGTCCATTGTAGAACAGCTTCTAGTTTTTAAATAAAAAAAAAAATGTTAAATTAAAGACATTTAGTTAACATAGTAAACAGAAAGATTGATCGAATGATGTAAGTAAAATATTCATAACTTAGCAGTATAGTTTAGGTAAGCTTAAGTAAATACCTCGATAGACAGTTTGATTGATGGTCACGTACTATTTTGTGTTCCTACGCCGCTAAAGTAATAGACCCTTTCAAATTCAAGGTCCGACAAGTTACATTCTTAAACGTTGACCAATATGAGTGGAAACTTAATCAAAGTTTAGTCGATAAAAGGAAAATATTTTTATTGTTAATAGACAATACATTTTTTGTCATAGATTACAATTACTTTTTAAATTAAAGTAGGACACTAAAAATGCACTTTAACTTTTTGTCTAACTTTGAACCGGATATGACTTAACCATTGTATAATTTGCTATTGATAAGCATTGGTTTAGATCGAATTGAAACGGGAATTTGTAAGATGGTCCACGTGTAAAACACACACTTCTTTGTTGCCGAAGATGTCAGCAATCACAACATATTTTCTTTCTTTAATAAAAAGCCCTACACTTACGACACGCTTTAGGCTATATATTTTCACGCCAAACTTAAAACTTAGGGAGTAAATATTTTAGATAAAAACCCTAATGTGTGAAAGAGACCGAAGTTGCTGCCAACATCAAGAAAGCAAGGTGGTCATGCTTTGTCATCATGTCATGTCATTTTGACATTTGCAATTGATAATTTGACAAATGTAAACAATAAAATAAAATTTTCATAATCCTATGCGGATGAAGTCGCACGGAAACAGTTAGTAGCACAATAAAACCAATAAGCCAAAATCCATTTATTCTAGATTTTACTGTTGACATTTCATTTTATAAGTTGAATGTCCAGTCAATAGGCTTTTTGTGTGAAACCGCAAACTGAGCTCTTACTTTACTATGGTATTCGGTCAAGGCTTGCTCTTTCAAAGCTCTAGTCCATTTACATTACAAACAGTTTGAACGGCGTGATAAATGACTTATGGTGAATAACCGACATTGTCCTACGACAAGATGAAGGCGTGTCACCAGTCATTAGGTTTAAATCTTTTGTATCATATAAATTCATAACTAAGAAACTGTACTATGAAAACAATAACTTTACAAAAAAGAGTGTTACAGTTATAATTAAAGTGCAAAATAAAACTTTTCATCATTGTAGATACGACCAAAATATCAGTTTATTGCCCGATATATTCTCTTGATTTATAAACGTAAGAATTTTCTACATTTAAAAGCCAAATTACATCTACAAGCTACAGCCAAAAATTACATCTTAGCAAATCAATTAATTGCATTATATGTACTGCTTATAGGTAATAGTAAACCGTGATTTTCCTCCTATCCTAGTTTTAATAAGAAATATCACTAGTATTATAAAATTAAATGTCTTGGGAAACGTTATTTCAACGTACATTTACTAGTATTAGAAAATTCCTTAAGAGTTCATTTCAGTTCAGGCTCGCTGTCAAGATTGCTTGACCTAATTTTTCTTTATTGTAGATGAAGAAGTCACTTACACAAGCCGGATAAATGGGACCGGGATAGTCCCGTTTAGATTTTAATTTGCGCATATACTAATATTCTCAGATATAGTTTCAGAATAACATATGATTTGTTAATAAAGTTAGATTTAATTATTTAATTGTCCCATGATTAGATATGTGAAAACAAATAGAAGTATTCAAGGAATTCATGATAAAAATATTTGTATAGAATTTTGGTTTTTCGAGTGGGAAGATAGCTAGATTGCATTTATTAATACCGAATTGATGGTTCTCGTGTTGTACTTACTCATATTAAAAAGGATTTGTTGCTTTTTAATTCCTTGCATGAATGAACTTCGTCACATTGACCTCGGTATTGCGTTGACATAGGACACCTTCACGGAAGAACAGCAATCTGAGCTCCTACGTAGAACTCATATCAGGTTTCCTTTGGTATGAAAAAGACCTGAATCTCTCTTACTATAGAGCTAAGGAATAAATAGCGTCATTTCTTTGTAGACTGATTTCACAAACAGGTTTACATTCTATGTCGTAAGAGCTATGTCGCCGAGAATTGTACCGGTTTTAGAATTGGCCAAAAATGGAGCTATGACTGTCCTTCCTCTTATTTCCGCGTGTTTGTTAATAATTAATTTCCTTTCAAGTCACTCACCACTTATCTGGAGACAGTATATTTTAAAGTAATATGTCATTGAAGTTTTTATAATGCAACGATTTTAATTTACTTCTGAATAACAGTGACTGAGCGAGCGGCGATTCAAGTTGGTTTGTTGACTACAAATTCAATAGATTTTTAGTTTTCACTTTTGATGTTAACGTTACCCAATCATCATCATGTTCAA